TGCACTTGTAGAATGGGAATCTCACGGATCCAGAATCATCAAAGCATCATTCAAAACAAAAGAAGAAGTGGATCACAATGAACATTATCCAATGTTATGCACCCACCAATGATAGCAACGACGACGTTAAAGATCAATTCTATGAGAGGCTGCAATCAATCATAGAGAAGTGCTCAAGAAATGACCTCACCATTCTGATGGGAGATCTAAACGCAAAAGTCCGAATAGACAACACCGGATATGAAGACATCATGGGACTACATGGACTGGGAGAGAGAAACGAAAACGGGGAAAGATTTGCAAATCTGTGTGCATTCAATAAATTGGTCATAGGCGGTACAATATTTCCACACAAACGTATACACAAAGCTACATGGATCTCACCGGACCACACCACAGAGAACCAGATAGATCACATTTGCATCAATAAAAAGTTCCGAAGGACAATGGAAGATGTGAAAACCAGGAAAGGAGCGGACATAGCTTCAGATCACCACCTGGTTGTGGCCAAATTGAAACTGAAGCTAAATAAGAACTGGACAACTGGACAAACAGCACCACAAAGGTTCAATATAGCCTTCCTTCGAGATACTGACAAACTCAATGAATTCAAAATAGCTCTCAACAACAAGTTCCAAGCCTTACAGGATCTACTGAACGAAGAAGAAACTACTATGGAGGATAGCTGGAGAGATATCAAAGATGCATTAACTTCAACGTGTCAAGAGGTTCTGGGCCCCAAGAAGCATCATCACAAGGAATGGATCTCTATAGAAACACTGGACAGGATCAAAGAAAGAAAGAACAAGAAGACAACAATTAACAACAGTCGAACACGAGCAGAGAAAGTCCACTCACAAGATGAGTAAGTAGAAGCAAACAAGCAAGTGAAGAAGAGCATTAGAGCCGACAAACAGAAATACGTAGAAGAACTAGCAACGACGGCGGAGAAAGCTGAAAGAGAAGGAAATATGAAACAGCTTTATGATACAACGAAGAAACTAGCAGAGAAATGTAGTAAAGCAGAGAAACCAGTCAAAGACAAAGAAGGAAGACCAATCACTGAGATTCAGCAACAGCGGAACAGATGAGCAGAGTACTTCGAGGAACTCCTGAATAGGCCGGCTTCAATGAGTGCACCGGACATCGAATCAGCACACACAGATCTCCCTATAGATGTCAATCTACCAACGACGGAAGTAATCAGAATGGTCAACAGACAAATCAAGAGCGGGAAAGCAGCAGGACCCGACAATATACCAGCTGAAGCACTGAAGTTAGACATCGAAGTAACTGCAAGCATGCTTCATCTTCTATTCAAGAAGATTTGGGAAGAGGAACAAGTGCCGATGGATTGGAAAGAAGGACACCTCATCAAGATTCCAAAGAAAGGAGACCTGAGCAAGTGTGAAAACTACAGAGGCATTACACTACTGTCAATACCGGGTAAAGTCTTCAACAGAGTGTTACTGAACAGGATGAAAGACGCAGTTGACGCTCAACTTCGAGATCAACAAGCTGGATTCCGTAAGGACCGGTCGTGCACAGACCAGATTGCGACACTACGGATCATCGTCGAACAATCAATTGAGTGGAACTCGTCACTCTACATCAACTTCATTGATTATGAGAAGGCATTTGACAGTGTAGATAGGAGGACGTTATGGAAACTTCTTCGACACTACGGAGTTCCTGAGAAGATTGTCAACATTATCCGGAACTCATACGACGGACTACAGTGCAAAGTAGTGCATGGAGGACAGCTGACAGACGCATTCCAAGTAAGGACCGGAGTAAGACAAGGCTGTCTACTCTCTCCCTTCCTGTTTCTTCTGGTGGTCGACTGGATTATGAAGACCTCGACATCTGAGAGGAACTACGGCATACGATGGACAGCTCAGAACCAATTAGACGATTTGGACTTCGCAGATGACCTAGCCCTTCTATCGCATACACACGAACAAATGCAGATAAAGACAGCCAGCATAGCAGCAGTCTCTGCATCAGTAGGCCTCAAAATACACAAAGGGAAAACCAAGGTCCTCAAACACAACACAGAGAACAGCAGTCCAATCACTCTTGATGGCGAAACTCTGGAAGATGTAGAATCCCTCACATACCTGGGAAGCATCGCCGATAAACAAGGAGGTTCAGATGCAGACGTTAAGGCGAGGATTGGCAAAGCTAGAGCGGCATTCCTTCAACTGAAGAACATATGGAACTCAAATCAACTTTCAACCAATATCAAAGTCACAATCTTCAATACGAACGTCAAGGCAGTTCTACTGTACGGAGCTGAAACTTGGAGAACTACAACAACCACCATCAAGAAGGTAAAAGTATTTATCAATAGTTGTCTAAGAAACATATTCAACATCCATTGGCCGGATACCATCAGCAACAGCCTTTTGTGGGAGAGAACCAACCAGTTTCCAGCGGAAGAGGAAATTAGGAAAAGGCAATGGAAATGGATAGGACATACATTGAGGAATTCATCAAACTGCATTACGAGACAAGCGCTAACTTGGGATCCTGAAGGGAATAGGAAAAGAGGAAGGCCAAAGAGCACATTATGTTGGGAAATAGAAGCGGATATGAAAGGGATGAATAAGAACTGGAAAGAACTGGAAAGGATTGCCCAGGACAGGGTTGGATGGAGAATGCTGGTGAGCGGCCTATGCTCCTTCACGAGGAGTAACAGGCGTAAGTAAGTAAGTAAGTAAGTAAGTAAGTAAGTAAGTAAGTAAGTAAGTAAGTAAGTAAGTAAGTAAGTAAGTAAGTAAGTAAGTAAGTAAGTAAGTAAGTAAGTAAGTAAGTAAGTAAGTAAGTAAGTAAGTAAGTAAGTAAGTAAGTAAGTAAGTAAGTAAGTAAGTAAGTAAGTAAGTAAGTGAGTAAGTAAGTAAGTAAGTAAGTAAGTAAGTAAGTAAGTAAGTAAGTAAGTAAGTAAGTAAGTAAGTAAGTAAGTAAGTAAGTAAGTAAGTAAGTAAGTAAGTAAGTAAGTAAGTAAGTAAGTAAGTAAGTAAGTAAGTAAGTAAGTAAGTAAGTAAGTAAGTAAGTAAGTAAGTAAGTAAGTAAGTAAGTAAGTAAGTAAGTAAGTAAGTAAGTAAGTAAGTAAGTAAGTAAGTAAGTAAGTAAGTAAGTAAGTAAGTAAGTAAGTAAGTAAGTAAGTAAGTAAGTAAGTAAGTAAGTAAGTAAGTAAGTAAGTAAGTAAGTAAGTAAGTAAGTAAGTAAGTAAGTAAGTAAGTAAGTAAGTAAGTAAGTAAGTAAGTAAGTAAGTAAGTAAGTAAGTAAGTAAGTAAGTAAGTAAGTAAGTAAGTAAGTAAGTAAGTATAACCATTTTGTTGAATCCAATATTTGTATGCTTGTTATCCGCTTCCTTGATGGGGTCCACCTTCACGGTGTCATTCAAATCTAGAGCTGAGCTCATGATAACGCTCTCTATTTCCTCAAAAGCGGAATTCTACTGCCTGTTTATCTGAAGGCAATTTTCTAGCCATGTTCAGCAGTTCAATCTCCTGAAGAATCAGTAGAGACTTTGTAGAACAACATGTTTTGCACAGCCAATGTGATAGTGGCTTGCAGCGCCTTTTATATGCAGTCGGTTTAAGTCCGGTGCACTTATTGTGATATCACTCATTGCAGTTGTCACATTGTTTCCCATCATTGACAGGGAAATAGCATGCAGGTCTGCCACATCTATGTTTTACTTGCACCATAAAGTTGTTTTATGATCTCACAGGAAGAACAAAAGAGAAAACTGATGACTAGAATAAGTATCTTTTAAGGCTTATTATGTGTTAGACACTGAATACAAAAACATAGGTTTGTTTATTAGTGTACCTAACAACGATGAAAAAATCCGACTTCAGTAGATATGAAAAAACCTTAACACCTTTGGATACAAACAATAATAAAATATGTTAATAAATAATATATTTGTAACAATCTAACCAATGCTCAATTTATTCGAAATTATCAAATCAAATCTTGGTAATGATACCTACAATACTAAAAGATGTCTTTAGCGATGAAAAAATACCAGTGCCTTTTTTGTATCTGTACTCAAAAAGAACAGATTATAAATTTTTATAGGAAAAAGCGATATTCTTGGAGATTACTTTAACTGAAATAAACTTAATTAAAGCAAAAATAGTAATCTTGATGCGTAATTAAACGATCAATACTATAAAATATACTCAGAGGAAAAATACCACTGTCCTTGTTTTTCTGAAACGAAGAGTGATGTATGTCATACACTGAATTAAATCATTTTCAACTGTTAAAAAGCAGACAAAATTTCACACAATCAACCTCAAAAGTTATGTGTTTTGGAGTTCCAAGAGTAGGGATGAATCGTGGAGATTTTCTGTTGCAGTTAGCTTCAGATGTTGATTCATCTACAACTAAGAAATTAACGCTAATATGTATAAATCTTATTATTTGGTAACTATTTAATTTTAATGTTTACGGATTATCCTAACCACAATCGATGGGGAAGTATGTCAAGTGCTGTTAGACGTTTTCCGGATACTAATAATTTTAGTTACTTTACTTTGTTCCAAGCCCTTTAGTATTTCTTCAGAACAAACATTGAAATTATTCGTTGATACATTTCAATTCATATTTGGCTAGATATTCATTATCAAAAAGTGCTTGATTTACACAAGTAGTGTTGTGTATGCCGATAAATATAAGTAGGATGTAGCACTAATCTGAAACGGAATCCCTGGAAGTCGAAGATCAAAATGAAGGGAACGGGAAGGAAGTGAAAGTAAAATCGATAGAACAACAGAATTAGAGAACTGATAAAATACGAAAAGGATAACGCAAAAAAGATGTGCATATGATGTATTTAATGCATGATTTTCATAGTTTACTAAGTCACTGTGTGATTTGGCATTAGATAATAAATTGGTTTTCTCCTTCAAGTCTGCTTTCACTTAAGTAAAATTAAAGAATTATGTTTTTACATAGCTTTAATGTAAAAAGCAGATATAGAAGAAAGTTATTGATTTATTGCCCATTCTTGGTGAAACTAGTTATTTAATCTAAGACACTTAAATTATGTAGTAAAGAATTGACATACGTAGTTACTTGTTGGAAACATGGAATCTAAGAAAAGTCATGAAATATTTACCTTTTACTAGTTAATTAAACAATATTTACATCGAAGACAGTTGAAGTGTCACAACAAACAAATTACATGATACGTTATTTCAAAAAGCAACATTAAAAATAAACATGATTTTAAAATAAAATAAATTGTTGATAAACGATAAGGTTAATTTTAATTATATTTCATACAGTGCATAATACAATTAGAGACAATAGTAAGTTTAAAAATCATGCACATACAGTGTGGTTTCTCAGTGTAGTTGTAACTTTTTCCTCAATAGTTACGCATTCAAATAATCCATTTCCTGAATCGGTCTCAAGTGATATAAAACAAATTCCAGTAAATACATGTAGAATGGTTGAATATAATGCAAACTAATCAAGTGATCACTGAGCAAATCCTTTAGATCAATAAAGAAATAAGTTATAAGAGTTACACTAACAAGGCACAGAAGAAATATTTATTAATAACATCTAAAAATAACTTAAAATACATGACTACTCATTTCCAAATAACTAACTAGGACTTAGTGTTTTAGTGTAAGATTATTGCCTGACTTAATAGCATATACTACTTATTTATACACACAGAGAGTAATATTTCTGATAAAAACATAAAACACGATGGCTTGACAGAATCATGAATCATTCCGATGTTTCATAATTTGACATAGAAATTGCAGACTATAAACTGGTAAGTAAAAAATGTAACAAGTCTTTTAAATTTACAGTGGTGGCGGTGTCATACCTGACTACATAATTTTATTCAGTGAGAATCTGCAACCGGTGGAGTCCTATGGTGGTGTGTGCTACTCGTGTTTACAGACATCAGTAGTATACAACACCAGTAAGAAGTGGGACGTCTGTGAGCAGAAGGTTGAGAAGATTGAAGTGAAGAGAAGGGAGAATAAAACAGGAAGCAATCAAGATAACAACTGGAATGAATGAACAATGAAGCTTGTAAGAGACTATTCATAGATGTGCAAATGATGTATTAGATGTATGATTTTCACATTTTAATAAACCATTGTGTGATTTTGCATTGAACAATGAACTGATCTTCCCCACCTGAGAGTTCGTTTACGACATAAGTCGTATCGAGTGTGGGCTGGTTAAAACTTAGCCAATGGATGGAGACTGCGCAATATCGTGGTTTGGTTGAAGTCAAACAGTAACACAGTTGAATGCCGCAGTTTTGGTTCATGAATGAACAATGCTGAAAAGTCGCATACTAGGATTAAACAAATTTTCAACAGTGGTCCAGTTAAGACCAGTTTGCGATTTAAACTGGGAAAATTCTAAAATCTCCAAAGATCAGCAAGAAAAATATTCCATTACACAAATAAGTTGGAAAAATCTCAGGTTAGAGTTTGCTGACAATAAATAAATATATAATCTCAGATGAAAAATTAAACTTAGTGTTTTATTAAATTTCGATTGTGGCTAGTAGTAGGACCAGTGATGCATGTTTTGTTCTGCTTTAGATGTGTCAGCCAGATGGACCTTAATCTAAGGCCAGGACTCGAACTCAGTAATGTCTTCTTTAAACTCACAACATGTAATCCATGGAGATACTGAGTTCAAATCGTTATTAGCTTATATGATTTGTAAAGGCTTATATTTACCATTATTGATGTTAAGGATCACAGTTCCTATTGAAATGTGTGCATCATGAGTGGATTGACTGTGCATCGTTGTTTAGTCACAACTTTTTATTAAACTTGGTAACTCATTAGTTACACTATTTAACAACAGTAACAACAATAGGAAAGTAAAAATCTTTATAAATAAAACATATTCAATAAAGAATGTGTGTCATAAATGGATGCTTTCAAAATATTAATTTGTGCTTCAGTTTTCGTGGTCATTTATGCCTTAATGATCATTAACAAAAAAAGTAAATGCTTTAACCATGTGTTCAACGCTACGAAGACTAGAGCTTTATTCATAAAATCTATCAAGGTTTTTATCTAGATTATTTGTTTATCCCTAGTATGTATGTAAGTTTCATGAGTTCTCATTGAAAATTAATAGGTATTTTTTGGGATGTTTTCACAAAAAACAAAATATCATTATGTTAAAATACTTCTAAATATGCAAACAAAGGTATCCTACATGTTGTATTGTTTTTTTTCCTTCTACTTAAACAGCAAAAATATTCACTTGGTATTGTTTGCTTGTACCATTCCGTTATTGATTGAACTGCAATTGATCAGTTTCTTATTAGCATATGTGTATACTGTCTCGATACTGTTTTAAGTCACAAGCCTTATGAGCAAAGATAGATGGTGACTAGCAGTGGAATCCAGGACTCGCGGTTCGTCTTATTTGGGACTTGTCAGCTGGATGTACCTGAATCCCAGAGTTGATGTTCACTCCAGGACTCTTTTGATACTTACTAATGGAATTAAAGTGTTGAAGAAATAACCTACATATATCGTAACCACATGCAAAAATGTTTACAACTGTGTGTGATGTTGTTTTCAACTCATATGGTGGTTATTATAATGATCATTTTTGGAATAAAGAGGTGTTCTGATTGAAGAAGCGAACATATCAACAAACTGGATAGAATATTGCCAATAAAAATAATATATCTGTAACATCCCAATGAATAGAAAAACTAAATCTTCCGATGTTTCGTAGCTCATTGTAAGCCACTTCTTCAGTGAATACATGGATAGAATATTGTTTACTTATAATAAGTCAAAATATGAATTATATGACTGCGAAAGACTTTGGAGCTTGATTAGTGCAAAAAAACATTTGTCAAGCTAGATATATGCTGTGTAAATTTAATAAATACAAATCAAATCTTCGATATTGAGTTGATCAATGTTTGCTCATCTACTTTCATAAAGTTCCAGAGAACATTGAGATTAACAAAATTTTATAAATGAATAAAAATGCATGTACAAATTCTTACACTTGGATCATGAAGATGATCAACCGTTTTTGATGTAGTGGCTGGAGATTTAGAATTTTTAGCGCGTTTATTTGGATAAACTAAGCTGAGAAATTCACCTTCTAGACTGCGCCATTGGAAAAGATAATAATTTCTTTGTTCTCTTCGCCAGGTGAATGGAAAAGTTCCATTTAAATCAACTATATGATATAGTTTTACACCGACTGGTTGACCACACATACCTGAAAATCAAAAACACTGAATGTCAAAAAGCTATAATATATGTGTAAAGTATTAGGAGAAGCTGACGAGCTGAGGATGTACACTAATTACTGTTGAACCATTTAATCAACTCCAATCAACTTGGCAGCTCTAGTCTTTATTAGATTTGTTGCAAATAGATATAAATAGATTGTTTGCGAAATACTTTTTTTCAGGACTCCTAAGCAGTGGGTATAAATGACATTACTTAAAATTCATTCCAGAATACTTAAGATATTTGATGATACCTACAACTTTAATCCATTGCTTATGTTCAGTTAATGAGACACTAACCCAATTATAACAGTGTGTAACTGCTTCTCTCTAGAATTAGTAGACTACATAAAACTTAGAAAACTACATCTAAAAGATAATCATTAGTAAGGAAGTGATTAAGTGTTCAGTGATTAGTTTGATTTCAAGGTAGTTTTCTCTACTGATTGATACCAGCTAAAAAATTATTGAAAATTAAGTAACACTGAAATGTTTATTCTTACTAGTTCAAGGCCCCTAAGTAATGCGTACTCTGGACCTTCAAATCTCTCGATGAACAGGATACAGAAATAGTTGGTTCTGCCGACTCGAACATTTCAAAGAAGTCAGTTCCAATATTTTTTAATACAGCTTGATTATGATTATTAAAAAAATTGAGGACCAGATACCAAAAGTTGTTGAATATCAAACATAGATATAAAAAATTATCATTTTATGTTACTCTGGAGTTACCATGCACTACATAATCGACAAAATCAAGAAAAATTATAACTTAATACCAATAAATAGTTTCCGTTTCATAAATTCAGTAATAGTGGAAGTGAACAAAATATTCTCAGTATTTTTTGAGTCAACAAGAAGTATTATCACTGCGCCGTTCGCTCAGGACTAGGTCAGCTGAGTAAACCACCTAATTACATTGCATTTTCTGATCAAGTTTTCAGACGCTTTGATGTTAAACATGTAATCGATTTCCAGCACTTACTTAGTTTCACATCTTCTTTGTCTTCATCGTACGTTGGACAACTTGGATGCTTGTCAATAGCTTGTTCAACAATACGCTTTAATGCTTCTTGTGAGAGGACATAACCTGCACCTCCAGAGAAATAACCATTTTTTGTAAGGTACTATCAAAGAATCAATACAAATATATCTTGTTTAGAAACGAATGAGAGAAATAATCGAGTTGTATTGTTAGGTAGTTTGAAACTTATGGTCACTGATAAGATTTCACTCCCGTTGTTATTATCATGTAGAATTGTTTGATTCGATACCCAATAAGTAAAACATTATAAGTTAAATGGTTACAGAGTTCTGAAGTTAATAAATATTCGTTAGTTTGCTGATGTTAACTATGTAACTCCAGATTATTAGGATTATTGGAACTCACTATCTGTAGATTAACGGCATACAGTTCTAGTTTCTGGAAATGTAATGTAATGTCAACTTGTTGTTTATGTACAGGAGAGTAGAGATGTTTATTGAACTGATAGGTGATAAGTTAAATATGGATGCGAAATTATTTATATTCGCTCTCAGATATTATACCACATATCTAGACCAACACACCTGTCGTTAGATGACTCTTCATATCAGAAAGAAATGATTATTCGACTAAATACTTGATGACAGACTGTTTGAACAAATGGTTTTATGACTAAAGTGAATCTATTGCTCAACTTTTAAATGTATACAAGCTAAATAAGTTAGAATAAGGACAGACTAAAATGTCTACAACAAGCAAATTAGAACCAGTTTACGATGCGCAAGCTAATGAGTTTTAAAATAAAGGCAATCCAACAAAGAACAGAACTACACAAAAAGAAACTGGTATATTTCATATACAGAAATATTATGACAGTTGATACAACCTATGTATTGATTCCTAGATTAAAAGCTCCAATGGTCGTGTTTCATAAATCTTGTATAAAATCTACCGGGCTTACACTTGACTCTTCACTCTTTTACATGACTGCAAAACATTAGATTCTCGATGTCGTAATAACTCTTACTTCTGTAAACCTTATTATCCAATATACTGAAAACGAAATCTTCATCAAAAGGTTTGTAATTCGTAGGTCTGATTTCACTTGGTGAAGTCTAGTGTAGACTTATGAATAGTTTTAATAAAAATAATATATTTGTAATATCACAATGAGTAGAAAAGGTAGATTTTCTGACGTTTCGTTACTCAGTGTAAGCCACTTCTTCAGAGGATAAATAACCAAATCAAAATTAATAAAAGTTTAAATAGTACAACGGAACAACAAGAATATTATGTGACCAATCAAAAGACAGGTTCGAACAAATCAATTTCATGTCATTTCAATCAAGGTGATTCATAACCGACATGTATGTAAATTGGTATCACAATCGATACAACCTAATTTGTAGACGCAGTTCCGTGTGTTGACATGAAGGGGATTTTTTCTTTTAAGCGAACTAAGTATTTCGAAGTGTGTTCCTCGTTTTGTAATATACATTAATTCTGTGTTGTATTAAGATTCTTTGGAGTTCTTTTGTGCCATGACGGTATAATAAAACTGCAGTACCAATCCATAGTATTTCATTCGATTTATTATTATTATTGCGCAATGAAACGTCTTGTTTTAATATACTTCTAATAATCTTCATAGGAAAATATTTAAGTTGTAAGATGCTAATTGCATTCTTTGGTACTTTTTGTTTATCCTCTTCCGATGTTACAATCGTGTTAGCTCTTCTAAAAAGATTTAGGGCTAAAGAGATCTTTGCACTGAATGGATGTGTGTAGGCTTTAGGCAGATGGATAGATTTAGAAATTGATTTTGATTTCTTTTCACTAAGCAATCTAAAAATGGTAACTCACCATTTTCATTTTCATTCGTGAATTTGATGTGCGATGAAAATTTATTGATTCGTTTCGAAAAAGATCTTAGATGGATCTTTTTTATTACAACAAAGTTATCATCTACATATCTAAGCCAAATTCGTGGTTTACTGATGTTGGCGAAAATATTTGATTTGATGTGTGCGATAAACAAGTTGTCTCAAATCGGGAACACGGGGGATCCCATTGCTATACCGTTAGTTTGTTTGTATAACGTTCCGTTAAAAATAAGTGTCGAATTTAAGCAGAGTTTTAAAGAATAAACTAATGCTTAAAGGACATTTATCAGAAAGAGTATTGTCGTTCTCTAGTAAACCACTAATGAATTCTAAGCATTTATCAATAGGAATACTGATGTATAATGAAACAACATCATGGCTTATCATGACTTCATTCTTTTTGATAATTAATTCTGATATTTTCCGATAGTTTTAATAAAAGAAAATGTATTAATTGATTTCTATTTTTGATATGTTGTGTTGATCTAGTTGCTAAATTTTAATATTTAAGTTCAAAGATCATATTCACTTTTAATCAATAAATTAGTGGAATAAACCCAAATAATGTAATTTCTAATAAATTTAGATCATTAAAGATTGATTATCAAACAGATTACTATAAAAATAATCAACTGAGTTGTGAGTAAGAATATGTATTCACCTTTGATCTTATAGATACCAATTGTACATTTTTTCTATTGACTGAGTTTAGCAATATTTAGTAATTCTCTAGATAATGTCAGTTAGTGATAGAAGTTAACTGAACTAAACATTTATTAATTGATTATTCAGAAAAGGATTTGTTAGGTTGAATTATTCTTTCATGTTGGATATACTACTTCATTACTAATAATCAAATACGTTTAGAAAAGAAATAATATTATTGGATGCAGAATTTTATTCTTCTCATATATTTCCGTATTGTTTGTATGAAAATAATAATTTGAGTTATAAAGTAATCTCTCTTAATTATAAAAACACAAAATTGGGCAGGTAAGTATAAAATAAAAATAACACTAAGCAAAGATGGATTTTGGCTAGCATTGGAAACCAGGACACGCGTTCCGTCCTATTTGGGACTCATCAGCTGAATGTACCTGCATCTCAAAGTTGATATGCACTCTGGGACTCGAACCCAGTACCGTTCGCTTCAAACGTCATCGAGTTAACCACTTAGCTACTGAGTCCTGAATTAAGGCTATATCGAGGCAATATGCATAGTATGCACATATGCCAATAAGAGACTAATCAATCGCAGTCCTAAACATCAATGGGAAGATTCAAGTAAACAATATCAAGTGAATTCGGAAATAAACCTATTTGTAATAACCTATACAAGTCTTACGAATAATTTTAATTGATTGGACTTTGCAAAAAAATTTAATCATTCCAGTATTTCTTTTATATCACACAACTAACAGACTATGACAAACACTTATAATTTAAGCATTGACTTAACTTACTTCTAACAGCTTTGCTTACAAACCTAATGCAACTCAAAACTGAGTAGTTTCTTAAAGTGTTAGCTATATCACCAAGACATGTCTGAGATCTTGGGAGGATTAGCACTCTCTATAAGATTTGGCTGATTATCAAGAGAGTGTAAAATTGCCATTGTTTCATATAATGCCCGACTGACATTTTAAAAAAACTTTCGTACTCTGGTCAATAAGATTATGTCAGTCACTCATACTTAGAGATCAAGTAACTAATATTCTTGCTTATGATCATTGCAGGTTTATACCTTCACAATAACTGATAAAAGAATTGTCGTTTAAAAATTAAAAACTCGGATTCTTCAGATCGCTTTTATCAAATGAGCTTCTGTTACACAATCACACTTGGAAACTAAAGGAAATCATGAATGTAACTACTGTTATATATTGCGAATTTCCACAAGTTCAAAAAATAATCAAACTTACAGGAAAATTATAACCAATCATAAATGGATCTTTAGGATTATGCTGTTGTAAAATAGATCTTAAATTCTCCATAATTACAAAAGTATCATCATCTGCTTTTAAAAAATAATCATAATCATTTCGATATTGATAGACATAACGAAGAATTGCTCGCATTTTACTCCATAAATGTTGACGACTTTCGGGATAACTTAAATTTAACTCTAAGAACAAAAAAAATTGTTAAATGTTAGTTAAATAAAGGAATAATAAGTAGTTTAAAATGAATACAGCCATATTTTCTGTTCGCCTATTATCTTTGCCTTAGAATAAACACATTAACAATGTGGCAAATGCTAGTTAACAGAAGGCTGCTGAGGAGTACCATACTGAGACGAAACAACCGTCCAGCGCCTTTAAGTTTTCAGTGGTGTTTTAGCTAAGACCAGTTTGTGATTTATAAAGTCAAAATGTTACAATGTTCACGAATTCGGGATACTAGAAAGAATAATTGTCATTATTTATCTTCACAGCTTTTCAATATATTGAGAAATACTCGGTGGTTTTTACATGATAATTCAAGGAATGACTTAATTAACTGATAGACTTCAGTAAAGTTTATACTGAGTTTAAAATAGATTTTAAAATCTTAGTGATATTAGAAGATTAATTAGGCGAACAAAAGTATTCGAAAAAACTTTTTTCAGAAAAACATTGCTAAGTCTTTGCTAGGTTTGAAGCTATCACGAGTTCACTTAATCTGCGAACGAGAACAAAGACTCGGTGACCAAAGATCAGTAAGCTAGATATTTTGATGCGTCCCAGCCCTGCTAACTAGAGGAAGAAGTTTAAGCTTGGAATGGGGAGGTATATTCTGCAAACAGCCAGAAACGAGCGATAAAAACAAACAAAAATCAAAACCTATATATACAGTGCAAAACCGTCCTTGGGGAGAGTTACCAAATAATATACTAAAAGACTCAACGGACCAATAGCATCTAAGGTATTTCCCAGTGGGAAATACGACATGGAGGTGACAAGAGCGCCTTTTGCGCGAAAACAAAGAAATTCAAATTTTCTAAATAAAATTACAAAATTAGGTCCTTTTCCAAGTGAGTTCTGGGGATCTAACGTCCCCAACAGTCATACTATCATATTTTCCATTCTCAAATTCAATCTTGTGATCTTATAATTTGAACTTTATGTCCGAGTTTTATTGTGAATTTCAGCATTATAATACAAGTCCATTCGGTTGAAAAATCCTGAATAACGAGGAACTTACATCTTAGACTCTATTGTTTGTCACTCCCGGGAAAATTATGAGGAGTATGTGTATTCAGGTAATATCAAGGTTGATGAAGTAATGAAGTGACGATAGGAACGAATTTCGTCAGTAGTCAGAGCTGAATAAAGAGTTAGTATATTTACACTCATACATCAAAATGATGAATGGCAACTCAAAACAACTGAAAACGATCACTAAAGGCCGAGTTCAATCGAGAATGCTGGTGAGCAGCTAATGCTTCTCCATGAGGGAAAACAGGCGTAAGTAAGTATATTTACACTGTTTCAGCAAATGGCAGAATATTTCACTTCGGGACAGAAATTGCTTTATCTTAATCTACTGACTAGTATCTGTTCTATGGGATTCTTTTGTAATTATGTGTAATCCTTTGGACTTAAAAACTGATATCTTATTTTGAAGTGTTCGAACGTAGTAACGGCAACTGTATCGCTAAGAATCTTGGGATCAACATTTTATGGTTAAATGTGATTTAGAATTTATTTGTGCATTTTCACAACTGAGCGATTTGAATTAAATGGAATTTTTGGTCACTGCTCTTGATTTTTGTTATTGTAACCAAGGGTTTGATCAAAATGAAAATTAAATATTTGAAATTGTAAAAGAGAAAGTGAGAAATTTGTTGTTAGTGTCACAGGAACTTAAATTCTAGGACTGTGATACAATCATAATTTATTTGAAATTTTCATTTCGTATCACTGTAACAGAGATCATGGAAACAAAATGTGATTTCGTAACTGAAAAGCATACATATTAAGAGTATCAACTTATTTGTAACAAAAATGATTTAAAATAAAGTTTTGAATAGATATTGCAGAATTCATCATAATTGAAAAGATCTGAAACTTTTTACAAAATGTGAATCAAGGATAAAACTTGTATATATGAAAGTAACTTTGTTAGCGGTATAAGAAGTTTGTGAAAATTACAGAAATTTCATGGTTTAAATTACAAACTTATCTTAACTGGATCACCATTAAAAACAAGGATGCCGTTGACAACCATTTCATCTTAGTATGGGACTCTTGTCTAGATCGTGGGTACACACTGTTGAAGAATGACATATTAGAACGAATTAGCTGTCTAGCACATCCTAGATTTTAATGATGGTCAAATCAAAATCAATTCATGATTTAAACTATGTAAACTTGTTAACTGAATTAATCAAACTTCCTCAAAATGTTTACAATTTCATTGAAATTAACGTCTTAGCTTAACAAATTAACTGTAAATTATTATCAAAAGGGGTTTTGTGGAGATTTTAGAAATTTCACTTGTTGGAATCACGACTCAATTAAAGCTAGACCACCATGGAAAACCTAGAACCACTGGACGGCCGTTTCGTCTTATTATGGGACTCCTCAGCAGTGCGAATCCACGATACCGCCCCCCGAGAGATTCGGACCCAGGACCTATCAGTCTCGCCCACGAGCGCTTAACCATTAGCCAGCATTCTACGCTGTTACTGTCTAACTTCAACCAACCCACTAAATCGCGCCACCGTACACCATTGTCTTCAGTGAGCTGATATCTCACAACAGACCTGGTCTGTTTTCCATGGTGGTCTAGCTTCAATTGGCTCATGATTTCAACTAGTGTAAATTATTAACTAATCAAAGTAAATAATTTATGTTAACTAAAGTGTAAAAATTCTTAGAACTAGATAAAATGAAGTTACATAAAAATTAAAATTTTATAATGTTAATTTTTTTTGTACTTACTAATTGTTGGTAATTCCTTGTCATATACACTACTCATAAATAGATATTTTGTACAACGCTTTGCCCAACTATTTTTAACATAAATAGCTTTGGTTCTATGTGTTTTTGGTATTGTATTAATATAGCATAATATACGAATAGATAAACGTAATTTTTTAGCTTCTTCTATATTCATTACTAAATAATAATAATATGAAAACAACAAATAATTATTATATCGATATTAACGTAATATTTGTCAATATACAATTTACATGAGTTAATATTAAATATTATAAAGTGAGTTTCTATATTTGAGAAAGTTGTAATGTTTACTTTATTTCAACAGTTGAGATCATGAGTCAGTTGAAGTTAGATCGCCATGGAAAATCTGGATGCATACTGCTGAGGAGTCCCACAATAGGATGAAACGGCCGTCCAGTGCTTTCAGGTTTCCCATGGTAGTCTAGTTTCAATTGACTCATAATCTCAACTATTGAAATTACTACAACCTTCACAAAACCCCTTCTGATGTTTACTTCATTGTTAAGTCAAATATAAAGTATATCCTTTGAATTGTATAGATTGACTACCGATAAATGATATTTTCAAGACAAAAAAAGTAAAACAGTCGAAAGGAAGACTAATTTTATAAAAACTAGCTATTCTATATTATATTCTAAATTGAGAAGAAATCAATGGAATTTGAATAAATTCTTTAGCATCATTTGTTTATGTTTGTTATTTACCATTGTTTCTTTGTCCTATTTTTAGTACTGAATGAATCTTAAAGTAAGTTATAAAATGAGACTATCACTCCTGGTAAATTAAATATATTTACTGTTGAATAGTTAGTACTAGTCGAAGTAATTCTATAGACTATTTGTGAATAACATTATGAGCTGTTTGTAACTAATACTCATTTGTAGACTTTAACTAGTATTAAAACTAGATTTTTAATAGGAATCACATATCTCTCTAATTAATTAACCAACTATGATTATTATAAACTGTTCAGAAAAAATAATTCGTAGGGTACTTGTTTAAGTGGAAAGTTGAAGTTTCATAGTAAAATAATCTAGTTTAGAACAAACTCATAGAAAACATTCAGTTAATTATTTAATTTCAGATCAAAATCTATATGTTAAAAAATAACTGCCAAGAAATTCATACTGTTTAATTGGATATTTAACAATATTCGAGTTATTAGACTTGTTCAACTTGATGAACACAGTATAAATTCAAAGAATTACTAGCTTAATACTTGAATAAAGATGAAAAAGTAATATATTTCATAGAGTTTGACGTATATTTTATTAGGTAGTTGGAAAATTTCCGGTCGGCCACCTATGCTCAATTGGGGGTCACAGACGTAAGCATGTAAGTAAGCAAGTAAGTAAGTATGTATGTATGTATGTATGTAAGTTATAAATTCACATTTATTATATTGAAACCTAAACATGAAAAGATATTAAGCTCTATGTTGATAATCCACTGGTATGTAGTGTGTTATATGTAATTACGAATGTTCAACCTATTGTTCTTCAATAGTAATTTACCAATTATTGAATCTTTAATTATCAAATGAAGAAAAAAACGAGTGTCAAAATTTTAGAAAAAAACTGAAATGGCAATGTTCAATTTAATAATGGAATGTAACATAATCAAAACTGAAGTTCATCAAATAATTGATTATAAAATTCTAAATGTTCATATAATTTCAATGATTGTTTTAATTATTTACTACAAAAAATGACTTACTGTTTGCATGGAACACGTATGAGAATAGTGCGGTTGCTAAGACTGGAACAGTTATAAGAAATATATTAACTATGATTAGACAATTGACTAATGAGTTTATTCCATTTTTTTAGATTCAGACAATCTCAAACTTGTTCATCAAATTCTCTGAAAAATAGCTTGCCAAAATATTTGATTATCTTACGATTTTTATTTTTTAAAATAATCTTACAACAACATTATGATTAGTAATTTTTCCAAAAGTACTTAATTTATAGCTATTAGGTGAAAACTGTGGTAAACATTGATAATCAAACAGTTCTTTAACACTATATACCTCTCTATTCTTTATTATTTTGTTACTGGTCTGTATTAAAATATATTCTGCCAAAGTCCTACGTAAATTTCATGTCGATAACCTTATCATATACATCGTAGTGAGTCAGTGAGAACTAAATTTGTTAAATAAGTGGTTGATTATAACTTACAGTAAGTTTGTTCAACTGCTTTATTTGATTGGATTTTATATTGTTTTCTTATCTTTGGATATAAATCAACATGTTTTTTTCTGGATTTATCATTTGTACATAGAATAACTTTATTTTCATATCTAGATTTTAGTGAGATAACAAGAAATCCTATCATAATTCCAACGAATAATGGTAAAAATTTACGAGTTTCAAAAAACATAGTAAAAATGATATGCAGAATTCTCTGCTTTTCGTATAAATCACAACAGATGATAAAGAGTATATATATAATTTGCAATATATTCAGATTTACGGGGGCGGCGGGACAAAGTGCAACACTTTAATTCAAACTTCTGGTAATAGATAGATATATCATTCCATACATTACTAAATGGAGATTGATTAATCTAGTCAATTGTGTAACTCCATGTGATTTGCATACTAAGAAATAAATAATTTTCTTAAGTTCAACAATTAAGCTATTCTTAGATATCTCCCGATGCTTTACAATGAATATATATTGTTTGCAACTCTTACAGTAATTATAGTGTTCATGATGAATGATTTAATGTGATTTGAGTATATTTCTGCATTATATAACCAAAGACTGAAACACTTTTAAAATGTCTATTATAAAATGACATTAATTCATCGTAACTAAAACATTTCCAGAAGCTTAAGTCATCAAAGTACTTAAACGTAGACACCCAACTTCGAGACCAACAGGCAGGATTCCGTAAGGATAAATCATGTACAGACCAAATCGCAACTCTACGGATCATCGTGGAACAATCAACTGAGTGGAATTCATCACTCTATATCGACTTCAATGACCATGAGAAAGCATTTGATAGCGTAGACAGAACAACATTATGGAAGCTTCTTCGACACTACGGCGTGCCTTAGAAGATAGTCAATGTCATATGGAATTCCTGTGATGGATTAAACTGAAAAATCGTTCATGGAGGACAGCTGGCAAAGTCGTTCGTAGTAAAGACCGGTGTCAGGCAAGGTTGCTTACTCTCCCCCTTTCTCTTTCTCCTGGTGATCGACTGGACCATGAAGACATCAACATCTGGGGGGATAGAAGCATGGGATACAGTGGACATCTAGGATGCAGTTGGACGACCTAGAGTTCTCAGATGATCTGGCTCTTCTATCGCAAACGCAACACCAAATGCAGGAGAAGTCGACCAGTGTAGCAGCAGCCTCAACAGCAGTAGGTCTCAATACACACAAAGGGTGAGCAAGATAAACCAGATACCAGTGGAGGAAGAAATCAGGAAGAAGTTCTGGAAATGGGCAGTACACACATTAAGGAAAGCACGCAACTGCGTCACGAGGCAAGCCCTCACTTGGAATCCTCAAGGCCAAAGGAGGAGAAGAGGTAGATCAAAGAACACATAACTCCGGGAGATGGAGACAGGCAGAAAAATGAACAATAATTGGATGGAACTAGAAAAGAAGGCCCAGGACAGAGTGGGTTGGAGAATGTTGGTCGGCGGCCTATGCTCCATTGGGAGTAATAGGCGTAAGTCAGTAAGTAATTCATCAAACCTCAGTTTAATATAATTTACAAATTTGCGACACTACTAACATGGGCGTAGAATTTACTCAGTCTTTGTTTAATAGGTATTCGTGAAACGTCTTTATAAAGTTTTAGATACAGTTCAATATATTTAAGGGAAGAAATCAATGATAAAATTAGAACTCGATCATGTGAAATCTCACTTTGGTGAAAGAATGTTTCTTCAAATGAAGTGTTAACCTATTGAGTGTGGTTTTTATAAAGCTGGGTAGATATACTATCAGTATGGGTCCTTTGAATCTTTCTATTCACGTTTATTCTGCCTGTAGTTGTATATGCCTCCATTTCATAATTCATAGCATAATTCGTTTTAGTATATTTTTTGATTTCAAAACTCTAAACATAAGTTTATCAATGTTAGCATCCTAACTTGAAACCACTAAGCGCGTTATTTGTCACTGATTATACTTGATTATGTATTTGAAATAAATGTAAATCGAAACAGAAAAATGAGGTTTGCTTGTCTAAGTCATGTGGATAAGCCTTTTATACGCATGGGCACCGATTTAGTTTATACAATTGTTTGCTTAATTTAGACAGATTTAATGATTCTGATGTTAGCCAAAATATCCCATTACACTGAAGTGTTTGTCAAAATATTTATACATATAAAAGGATGCTTTATTATGATTGTAAACTGAATAACTGACCCTCTGTGTTAACCAATAACCGATCAATTACGTCAATAAATTAAACACTTGAAAGGCCACGTGAAAAGTGTATCAGAAATGGACTACTGTCCCTGCATAATCTAAATTTTCGAACTACAGTGCAATTAAAAATAGGTTTATCAGCTGGTCGATCATGCAGCATCATTTTATATATTGTCCAATGAAACTTACATAACTAGAGTCCCTCAGTTTTATTGTTATAGCGATCTCAATTGACACGATATTAAAGGGTTAGAGTGAATCAGACCAATTTTCACACATGCTTTATCTGCTAGGGTTCGGTAAAGATCTGAACCAATATCACACATAAAAACACAAAACAAAATTTCAAATGGGATCCATGTAACTTGTATATTATATGATAGGTGCAACGAAAAAATAACGAATGGATGGTAAGTATCCTCATTGTCAAGAAAATCGCTAATCAAATGTCATATTATTAACGCCGGCTTCAGATGATGAAAAAGGATTATGGTTATTTAAATAACTTGAGAAAAGGCTAAGTTTGACATTCTAATGGGAAATCACCTGTGTTATTTCCTCTTCTACTTCAAACTAAGTATAACTACCAAGAAAGATCTCTTATTGTGAAAAGACTGTCGATCTACTTCACCATACCAAAAACAAAGTAATTATATTAAAGGATAAGGAGTAGATTAATTATTTATCCTAATCATGCCTTCTTACAGAGTCCTGATTTATATGACATATAATAAAACACTCAGGTTCCCTTGATCTTCCAAGGAATGTGAATTGAGAATACCAGCTGACTCAATGTTGGGGGATTACGGTACTGAGTTTGAGATGTTAGGTCAGTGTGGTGTTTGTATGAACTAATGATTCCTATGTACTTAATTATTGCCTGGTTTCAAATCCCAAATACAATACGTTCGTTCGTGCGACCTGATGGCTAATTCTCGTGGACTGGCAGGTGTAGGCATAGCACTAAGTACTAAGGCAGAACAAGCACCATTAGAATGGATCCCCATTGACGGTCGTCTATGTGCTGTCCGGCTAAACGACTCCGTAAGAACTCGGAAGGTTGGGGACACACGTGGTTGCCTTTTCGTCATTTCTGCTTACGCTCTCACTGACTGCAGCTCGGATGAAGTGAAAGTTGTCTTTTACAGAAACATCTCTGAACTTCTTCATAAAGCTAAACAATCAGATATAGTACTTGTAACAAGTGACTTTAATGCCCAAGTAAGTAGCTTAAATCAATCAGAAAGACATTTAGGTGGGTATTTTATTATCCCGGCTCAACGAACAGATAATGGTAAAAGTCTGCTGCAACCGTGTTCAGATAATCGTTTATTTTTAGCAAACACTGATTTTAAGCAAAAGGAGAGACATTGTCTAACGTAACGACATCCTGCAACAAACCAACGATCGACTCAAATAGGCCATATCGCCATCAGTCATCGTTGGAGAGGCTCGTAAGAAGACTTACTCATTTCTGAATACCTGTTTGGACTCCGATCATGATCTAATACCAGCGTGCATGTTTTTGCGCCTCACTGGACACAGAAAAACCACACTAGGAAGACCCATTATAATTGCACTCAATCGAGAGAGAACCGAGAGTAGATTTCAGTAACAACTGAAGTCACACTTAGGTTGTTCTGAGATCGAGTTTGATCCAGATTGTTGCTTGGAAAGATGTACGAACAGATGTGGGAACAACGATGATATCTATCAGTCATTTAAACCAAAGGTTTACGGAAACCAGTAGATTTCTAGCAAATCTATCGTACTGATAGATTCTCGTAAACTCATTTGATCAGGCTATGGACAAGATGCATAAAGAAAACGAATCAAATATAGGTTGGCCAAAATTCTGAGGAACGACCATGAGCAGTGGTGGGCGACGAAAGCAAAACAGATAAAAAAGACAGCGGCTGTGGATAGCATCTGATGGCTTTTCAGACTAGTAAAGTAAACTGGAATTAAGAAGTCAAGTGTAAGTGAGACAATTTCGGAAAAAAACGACACTTTTATCTATTCTCAGTCCAGACGTTTAGAATGATGGACGGAACACTTTAGAGAACAGTTTAGCTGACATTCACCTACTCTAAAATTACCCATCATTCTCAAACAGCCTGAATAGCACATTGAAGTAGGTCCCATAACTCTAGTTGAAGTTCAGAGAGCTATAGCTAATCTGAAACGAGGAAGAGCAGCTGATCCAGATTGATCAGCCCCATAGGTCTTAGGGGATAATGGTCTGGTTTTAGCGATTAGGTTGGTCAATATTTTAGCTAAACTCTGGCAGTTGGATGTAATCCCATCTAACTGGTCGCAATCACTGATTGTCCCAATATATAAGAAGGGGTCAAATCATCCTAAACTAACCATGAAAAGATTAGTTTGACTAACATAGCACCTAACTTACTGGCCTCAATAATTATCCTGTATTAAAGAATGATGGGTAATCAGTTGATGAAGTCGTGAACCTTCATCGATTGAGATCGATGGGCCACGTGTCACGTAAGCTTGAACATCGATTATCACGGCGCGCAATGTTAACTATTGTTGGAAACAATTGGGAGAAAGTTAAGGGCGGCAAAACTAACACGTGGCATCAATCGTTGAAGTCATTAACTTCTGGTCTGAGCTATGTTGGTGTAGGTGTATACACTCTGTCCTACCTTAAACCGTGAGATCGAAATTACTCTATTCCTTTCTTTCTACCAACTAATTCTTTCTTCTTGCATTATATCCTTATATGCAATCTTCCTCTTATATATTAACACCAATGAAGTAGGTACTTCTATGAAGTTAGTGATCATCATGTGCTAATGAGTTGTGGCAACTTGGACCCATGCATATATGTGCCTGGTCCTACGTCGTAGCTAACTGACTGAATGGCTCATCTAGTTTTTCTTGGTTAAACTGCGTTATCACTGGAATTCCTAGTTTGTACAATAATTCAAATACTTCTAAGCATCACTGTCAATCAGATATAGAAGAGATAGCTTTAAATAAAAGGTAGTTTACCCTTGAATACTGGACTCTCACGGTAATTGGAAAATAAAGAAGCTTTTACACCCCTTTTGTACTAGCCTAAATTCTAGCTAAGACTGTACATTTATAAAAGATGAAGCGACTCAGGATATTTCTGAGTTTTAGAGTCTGAAGCTAAACCACACGTTGGGCACCGAAGGAAATTCTAGAACACCAAACAGGCAAGATCGTTTTAATATGTCTGTGTCTTCTAACCAGTTTATAACAAAATGCTCAATGACAATCTATGTGTACAAAAGAAACGTACAGCCTCTTCTCCCACAATAGTTTTAACCTCTCGTATCTTTTTCCTCCACTCTCACACAGCCTTCTACTTTTCGTCCATCTTAACCACAGACCTTTTGCTGTTGACCGACATGTTTCTTTTAACGATCCTTGGAGATATAGTCCGCCTAAGTTTCAGCATTTATTATCACCACATCGAGCTTTCCCGTATCTAATTATAATTACTTATCTTCACACCGAATGTTAAAACTTTTGACAACGACATGATCATCAGTTTACTTAATAAAAATGATATTTTCATGCCCCTGCTTACATGACCTTAGGTTAACAATGTTTATTAAAAATTATAATATCCTTATTACTGTAATTATTATCACTTTGAAAAATAAGTTCACTGTTACGACTAAAATGCCGATATTTGGTTTGAACGTAGAACTAACGAACTTAAATTTACGCGGTTCGACCAGACTGTTTTTTTGCACAACCTACAAAGCGTTTTCGCGTGCCTCGTAATAAATTATATTAAAACACAAACTCTGTGTTCGGTTTAAACAGGTTTAATTTATGAAAGAGAAAAATTACATCGAAAATACAAAATACCTCGAACGGTACAGCCTGCACTATAGTCAAGTGTTTCTCTAACACAAATTAGCTTGCTAAATTATAGAAGAAATGGGTAATACACAAGAGTTCAATACCTGGGAATAAACAAAAGTGTACCCAAAAAGATGGGGTCAGATATCTATCTGCAGGGATTTCAGCAGTCTTTCCAAGCAGACAGTCAACGTTTACAAATGACATACTAAATCACGCCGTGACCTTGAGCCTAGTCGAACACGACCTCATTGTCAACAGTCCGGCAACATGTAACAGAAAAATAAGCAACGAAAGGTAAGTCTTTAACCAAAGTCACATTATGAAAGCTCAAGAAAGAATGTTTGAAAAACACAAAGTATGGTTAAATTAGATGTGAATAAAGGTTAAAATACACGAAAGGAGAAGAAACAAATAAGTGACAATACAGTTCAATGAAATGCTTCAGAGGGATTTTCAACGCTTTCCTCCCGTTACATTCATATTTACGATTCTACAGCTTTGGAAAGAAATTCGCCGGAAAAAGAACTCTTCTATGAATCACTCTTCTTTATTTTATTTCTCAGTCAATAAATTTTTCTTACATCCATGTTCTGATTAGACTTCAGTGGGTGGCACGGAGGTTATCGTGGTGTAGTTTAAATAGTTCAGGTAATCTTAAGATGGCGAATTGAGCTCCTGTACGCCAATGTACATACATTTAGTTCTTTCAGCCGATCATCGTAAGATTTGAACTTAATTCCATCTCCTTATTTTCTGGTTCTTATGTTTCGAAATTTTTCGAGGGATTTTTTTCTTTTTCAAGGGAGCAAACGCAATGTTCGCAGCTACGAGTGAGTTTGAATAAAACTGCCAATCGTTAGGCGAATACTCCACAGCTGAATTGATAAAAATTGTATTCAAATTTACTCGTACGAGTTTTGCTTGAGAGGTATATCTTCGATAGTTAGAATAAAATTTGGAACTGCAATTGTACTTAAAGAAATTTTTACCACTACAACGCCCATACTAAAGTGCTATAGTGATATTCATCCTTAGCCACATAATCCTTGAAGGTGGACGTATAATTATTGAGATCTACTTTCAAAATATAACACTAAGAAAAGGCCAACAATGATGTCTCGGACACGCATGCATGGTTGCTTAAATTTCTTGCTTTTTGTATTAAGTATATTACTTTTTTCTAGGCTCAAAAGTGTTCCTCAAAAGTAATAGACACCATATTGCTGATCGTCACGGCAGGTTGAGTCAGGGTAGATAATAATGTGACTTTCACATAAGATCTTATAAACAAAGTAATCACATCATGAAAATCTAAAATGTGGGAATTGAATATTTTATAAGGGTAGCACTAATACCAAACTAGATCATAGTTCTACAAAGTTACCAAAACGACGGTTCTACATAACTCCGCGGCCAAGGCATACTGTTTTAGTAACACTCAAAGAGGACAGACAAATTCATATTCTAAGTATATAGGAATAAATCAGTCACTAAGCATAAATAGTTCTGTAAGGTTTAGTATTAATGCCAACTTCATTAGTACTCGTGGACGCATACTAGCTCAGGGCTCGCGGTCATGCATTCTCACCAGATCCCGAATAGGCACGCCGTGCTATTCATCCCTTGCAACTGATAAACAGCTCAGACCCAACTCTTCTCAAAACACAAACAACTTTCCAAATATGTTTTCTAACACATCCAAACCTGACTATTTTTTCGACTGTGCCGGTAACCTTCGATAATAAATATTCTGCAGACAAAAGCGTGGGTAGTTTCTGAATATCTGTGTAAACTTGATCTGTTTAGTTATAGGTGAAATATTTAAATAAGTAATACGCACTACAGACTGACAATCTCATGCCTAAAATAGACACATATGCTGAGTAACCATTCTACATTCAACATCATTAACGACGAAATTAGATATACGATTCACCATCCTGTTTTCATTCTTCTAATATACAGTATGTTTAGGTAGAAAGATAGTATGTCTAGCCTTTGATGCAAATACACTGAGACCACGCCTAGTTTTCAATGTTCTATAAAGTTTGTAGATAATAGGTAGCCATCGGCTTTTCCATAGTTCTTGGGAGCACTGACGAGAAAGTCCCTTAGTTGAAGTTAGCAGAGTTGGTCCATAATATTGTCTCCTCCACTTATCTGAAATCACACCTTCGTTTAAGAGGTTGTAAAAGGGTACACTAAATCATGCACTCGGGATTGAAATGGCCCACCTAATGACTGGGCTGCATTTTTCAGGTACCGTGACTTTGTTATGCATGTATACAGTACTTTGATTATCCTCAGAGATTACTAGAATGAAGCGTTGATCATCTGGTCTTTGAGAAAGATGAATCAAACGGACTATTCGCGAAAATTTCTTGGCAAAATAGACGTCAACTTATAGGAATTGTCTTGTGTTTTCACTTTTAATTACGCGCTCAGCCTAAAAGTGGTCGGCACAAAATTGACCTTGAGTCGTTTGTAAATGGCATATGTAAGTTGGTTTATGAGATTTCATAACATTGGACATGAACTGTTATCATACTGCATGACTTTCCAAAAGGGATTTTATGACGTTGGGCAGTTATCATGCTCATGTGTTCCCTAATCCCATTATTCAATGCACTGATGGTCGTTTTTTCAGATATTTTCGAAACTAAAAATGCAACAGAAGCAACAAACTAAAGCTTTACGACACTATGCGTCTAGATATACTTTTAAGAATTTACAATCCTCTACTTTATAGTGAAATTTAAGTCTGATAGCCCTTGTCAGTAACCGAAGTAGTAACTTTGATCATAGCAAAACAACCATCACGGAGTCTTAATATTTTTCGAATTATTAACCAACATGTTGAAGATTTTAGTCATATACAGACGCTGGTTTACTATTGAATATTCGTGTATGTAATTCACGGACTACAGGACATTAATTTCGTGTAGGAATCAGTGAATGTCACTTCTAATACATAAAATCTTCGATTTCGACAGGTTTACCGCACTGGATTGCCTTCAAGCTTTGCATTCATAAAATCATTTGGTTTTCGTGAGTGCAGTGTAAAATTAATGTTTGTCAGCCAGATTTTTATTACATGATTTACCTATAGTTTTAGAGATGATTAATTCAAAACATAGTTCTTGCCTACCACTCTTAATATCAGTTCGTGAACAAAGTCATCGTCATCCTTACTAATTGTACCACAAGTCGTTTTCATATATAAGACGTAAAGAATTGATGCACCAATTTATTCTATGTTCAATGCCTAATCGTTTGGATGGTTGAGAAATGCAAGGTATTAATCCTGAATGATCTTAATGAAGCAATTAGCGTTACGATAGGGAACGTAAATATTCTCGAATTACCGCTCAAGGTGCTGAAAAAGCTTTCCACTTTGGATCGTTTCTACTACACAAAACTACTTCATCCGAATACTTTAAGTATATGATTAGTTTTGTGGTGAGAATTCGAACTGTAAAAATGTTAGACTAAGAAAATTTTATTTCTATAGACCAATCTACAATAAAAATAACTAAAAATATCAATGGATAGCCGTACAATTGCTTAGGGTAGCTAATCTAGGTGAGGACAGTAACTCTTCTCTCTAATATGTTAGACTCTGTAAAATTTCGACTCTAATTTTTAATCATACTCCTCTTAGTCAACTTTCATTTTTCTAAATTACCATTTATTGTCAGTCTCGGAGGCTACACTTGTTCGATCGAAAAGAAGTAGACTTACTTGGCGGCGAAAATCAGTTTTCTAAGTTACAAGTAAGCATTTTTTCCAATTTAAGTAAATAAAAACAGTCCAGTTGAATTTTTCTCGCTAAATTCACTCGACTTTTTTTCAATGACTGAATAGGTTTCCTTCGTTACTCAAGTTAAGAAGGTATAAAATTGGCATGCATTCAATAGCCCATCGAGTTATGGTAATGGGGTGAAACATATGCATCATAGATCCAGTATAACCGACAAGTAACTTCTGCATTGTTATTGGACTGCATGTTTTTCGTTTCTCCTAAAAATTAGGGACCCTACTTAACAACGAACGATCAGAAGATCTAAGGATATGACGAAAGTAACTGATTGCGTTATTGTGGAATAAACATTGAAAGTTTAGCAATGAAGATCTTTTTGACGATATCGTCTGACAATGTTATACACGTGTTGTATTTTATTGGAAAACTTATTTGTGCTACTTCATAAAGTGTTCGGAAATCTTAATTATCAAATCGATTTTACCGTTTTTAAACATTGCCGTTACGAAACTTCCACTAATTGGACGTTCCGAACACTTATGCTCTTCCGTTTTGTTCACCAACAGCCTACTTTGTATGTTATATGAATACAACTAAACACCAAGAATCATCTGTCATACACAACGTAGAACCCGGTTTTTGTCTATATCGGTTCAAATTGCAGCACTCCACCAGCACAGAGATGAAATTGTCAAGGTGAATCCTGGAGTAGTAGATGTGGCAACAGCAGTGGTAATAGAAACGAATAGGAATCCAATATATAATCTACTAGAAAAATATAAATTGATGAACTAAAAATAAATAGACCGAACTATAAGGGATGTGGAAACATGCGATCTAAAAGAAAACAAGGAGTAAATGCACCCGCACCATTGCAAAAGTCATGTCAGCACCCATGGTTATTTTATAAATAAAATGATGTTAGTTCTAAAGTTCCTTTCTGATAAACAATTGATGAATACTTATGTTATCCTGTGCATACACATTTTCAAATGTTTAATTGGGTGAAATAAAAGGCTGGAAATTGTGGAACGACACTTCTTGATGAGCTTGGGAAAGAAACTGACTTAGTAGTGGTCGTAGTGACTTGAGAGCGTAACCTTATGGCGAGGGTTACAACTGCCTAAGGCCAGTTACACGGTCTTTCTGTGAAAAGTTTTTAATGTGTGAGCTTCGTGCTTCAAGAGGCCTTGAAGACGAAATCAAGAATTCGCGAGGTAAGGTGAGGTGTAATAGTTCAAGGGTCTACCTTTCCTGACTCCCTCTTTATTTGTGAAGAAGCAGTATCGTTGCAGCTGACAGATGTTTGAGGAAAACATCTTGCTGATGTCTCATTCTACAGCCAGCAGAAGGATTTCGTTCTTGAACAGTAAGTTGCTGCTTTCAGTCTTACCGTTCTCCAACCAACTTGCCTGACATGGTAGGACCCAAAGGACTGACTATAACAGCTAATATGGCTCGATCGTGTTATCGCGGTAGATAAGCTCAACTGCCACTTCAAGGTAGCACCTACGGTCGAAAAGCACAATTATTTTTGTGAAATACCTTTATCTTGGAATATCTTTCCGTACTGTCCAAAATACAAAACAAATATCTTGTGAATATGGGGTTGTTCAGATTGTTGAATTGAGTTGAAATTATGGACCGGATTAAGTTGGAACGCCTGAGGTCACTTGATGGCCGTTTCATCCTATTATGAAATGCAGCAGTATCTACTGTCCGGCACACAGTAATCGAACCCAGGACCTTCTGTTTTTGTCTTGCAATTTGATTTAAATAGATAATAAGTATTTAATTATATTAAAATTAAAATTGACAGCCAAGAAGTCACGGACTTTTAATATTTCATCTGTTACTTCAGTTGAAATATCCAGATGTTGGTTTTCACACATACAAAATTACGGAGTTTTTGTATGCTAAACAATCAAGCTTTTTCCTGTGACCTCGTTTTCTCACTTAGATTTTTGACATCTATTTAAGGTCTCTAAATTCCTTGGGTTAGATTTTAAAGGCCTTTTAAATATTAAATTGACATTTTCATTGTCCTATTTTTTGGTCACTACGGGTAGTACTACATAGTATCCAGTTATAGTTAACGTTTGTTTGACTGCTTAGTTTATTCGTAGGGAAATGGCAGTTTTATGTCGTAGGAACAGCTGTAAATTAATCTTTAAATAAAGATTATCAAAAGACACTGGTTTTGTCACACTTTATCAGGAGAAAAACTACACGTTTTTGTGTAGCATAATATTTACCCTTTTCCGTAAGGCATAGAGCTATTTGACGGGCTATTGGAAAGCATTGTCGGTCAGTTTATCTCATTTTCGTATAATACATGTTTTGCAAATAATCGATTATTTTTCACTACCTTGATAGACCGTTAGTACCAATTGCACAACATATGGTCGTGGTCACATATGGTTTGGGGATTCTTATGGCTTTGTACATCGTGTAGATCGGGGCTTACACATAACTTCATTCCAAGCTCACGACAGCTGTGTTCACCTAATGCATCAAATGAAGGAGCATGATTTGCTCATAACTATTGGTGTAAGTTCTTATAAACCTAGTTTTATATACAACTTTTCCACTGCTCCTATGAAAGTCCACCCTTTTAATTCTCACTGTTAAGATTTGTTTCGCTCTCTCAGTGATTTGTAGACTTATCTTTGTCTTCAAAACTGAGATGCCTTATTGAGTATCAGAAGGCAATCACCAATGACGTGGTGTTTTTAATCAAATATTTTACTGGGTTAAGCAAACTTCAACTATTATTTTACCTTTTATCTTATACTATTGAATTATTTAGTTAGTTAAGTCTTGTGAATGCAGTCCAACTAAGCTCAATGTTCATTCTTCTATCTACATGTCTTGAAGTTTTTCCAATCTCTTACGTAATTAAATGTAAGTCTCTTCCCAATTCTAAAAGCAGACACTAGTTGGAACCTGACTGGTACTTGTATCTTCAAATATGGAGAAATAAAACTTGGGTCCCGGGGTTTCTGTCAATTAGGTGTAGCCAAATACCATGTAAAAATTTTGAAGTCTACTGGAAGAAAAAGGTTATATGTTTTACTGCAAAGTCGGATACCAAATATTCATAAGACCTTTCCGTCTCCGTTCTGCATTGTCGAACAAAGCAAATTGCTTTTAAAAATCTACAATTGGTGTATAATTGCGTCCAGACACTGATCTGTTAAATCTTTGATAATTACTTACGGTGAAATAAGCTTTCAACGTGTCTATCACCTAAAATATGTGGATACCTTTCTTAACATACTAACGTACTTTTATGGATTTCGTATTTTACATCTATTCAGGAAGACAAAACAAAGGAGATCAATTTAAAAGTATGGAACCTTACAAAAGTAAGTTAATTAATTTACATATTTCTTTGTTGACAGTTTGTGTATAATGTAGTTTTGAAAAATATAATCGCGATAACATTGAAGTACTTCTTTCTGATTTCAAACAACCTTTGCCGCATACTTCAGAATGGAGTCAAGAAACTATATATGATAAGACACGTATTATATGTCTCTTGTTTTTATTATCCAATCCCCATGATGAACCAGTGCTTTATTTATAAAGCACGACTTTCAGCTTCTGGCTTCAAGGTGCAAACCCTTCCACATACAGCTTAGTTTGTCAGCCTCACACACAATCATATACTTCAGAGCCGAGTTCATAAACAAATGCTTCATTATCACTCAAATTATTTCATTAACTCACCTATAATGTACATGGTATTAATCTGTAAACAGCAGTCTTGTCAGTTGATGTGTATTGCCATACGAAAATCTTTTCCTTCGATTTAGGAGCAAACTAGATTTTATTCTTAAAGTTGTGATTTGTTTAATACTTCGAAAGTAGCGTCGTAATTTTGATAACTTCATTGTTTTTTGTTTTGATTTAGTGGACAAATAAAATGATGCCATTTTGTTGTCGGGCCACATCGGTCACTCCCCCTGGGCTTTCTCTTGCTTACGTAAGTTAAAGTGATCGTTTCTACCCAATGATAAACTGTGGTTTTATGTTTATGGAGAGCTAAGAACATATTCAATTTACCCAAAATCATTTGCTTTCATTTTACCAAGCTAGTAAATCTTGTTAAAATTATGGTTTGCTGACCTACTCTGTACGTAAATTTATTTTTGTCTATTATTTATGCAGAATAAGCGAAAACTCCATTTACACTGTTATTATCAGTGACATTTATAAGAAAAGCTTCACACCTATGATGAGTGTAATTTTGAGTTATTAAGAAAGTATGATATACATCAATATCGTGAACTGCACGTAACATGGGAAATCAACTTTCTTTGTGACTTGACTACATTATCTGCAAGCGCGTAGGTGGGTTGTAGAAAAAAATTTTCAAGTGGTATCAAACTTGATTTGTTGTTTCTAAACTAAAGCCATATATGACATATGATTTATATCTTCAGGTTACGCTTTTCCTTACTTTCTATGCATTTTAAATGTTGTCATTAACAATACGGGACAGAAAATTTCCGCCATTTAATCAAAACTAACATTTATTCACTATGCGATCAATTCTAGATTTATGTATGAATCGATAAATGGCATGATAAATGATCATTTGGTAATATGTATTTCTTACTTAAATATACTTAATTCATCTAACAAGTGAACATTTCGGAAAAGTTTAGTTATTCTGGTTCGTCAATTTTCAGACACCAGATGATGACAAAGAGCAACTGGTTACAAAGTGTTATTACTGTGTCATTAAAGTCGTTCTGACATACGTTTTATGAAATATGGTTGACTATTGCTTATCATCATCACTGAATTAGAAAGATCCTTTCAAACAGTAATCATCGAATAATATTAAGCTTCCTACAACTTACACTTTACTAGCCAGATTGTTATCCTTCTTCTATATTCGTCAATAAACGCTTGGTAAATAAGCATTGCACAAGTTTGTTTGGAATGCTAAATCGCCTAAGGTAACGTATTATGGAAAAAACCAGTCTTAAAATTTACATATTAAACTCATTTTTGTTCATTGATTTTCAATGTATCTTGGTTGTTTTATTCACTGCAATTTTGTGCTTAAGTGGCATGTACTCAGTTGATATTTTTTGTAATTAATAATTATCGAAAGAAGGGGTTTTGTGGAGATTTTAGAAATTTCACTAGTTGAAATCATGAGTCAATTAAAGCTAGATCACCATTGAAAACGTGGAAGCAATGAATGGCCGTTTCGTCCTAGTATTGGTTTCCTCAGCAGCGCGAATCCATGATCTCACCTTGCGAAATTCGAACTCAGGACCTGTCAGTCTCGCGCGCGAAGGCTTAACCATTAGATCACTGAATCAACCGGCACACAACGGTGTTAATGTCTAACTTCAACCAATCCACGAAATTGCGCCACCGTCACCATTGTCTTCAGTGAGCTGATATCTTACAACAAACCTGGTTGAGCTCGACTGGTAACGGCTTCTCACTAGAACTCCAGGAGTGTCTTGATGTCAGTCACTAGTGAGCAGATGAATATTATCAGAAGGGGTTTTGTGGAGATTTTAGAAATTTCACTAGTTAAAATCATGAGTCAATTGAAGCTAGACCACCATGGAAAACCTGGAAGCACTGGACAGGGGGGAGGCGGGATCGTGGATGCGCCTTACTGAGGAGTCCTATACTAAGACGAAGCGGCCATCCAGTGCTTCCAAGTTTTCCATGGTGGTCTAGCTTCAATTGACTCATAATTTCAACTAGTGAAAATAATTACTGGATTTAATCAATATACAAGTGAATTAATTCTTTCAAAAATATTTCAAATAAGTTTTGTCTCATGGAGTAGCTGGGGCTCAGAGAGAATAGACCTGCTGTGTCCGGCATCAGATTTTCCATAGGACTGCAGACATACTTTGGTACTATAAGGTTTAAAATTCTACTACTTTTCTATCTTTATGTTTCAACATCACACTTATATTGTATCCTTATTTCTACAATCAAAAGGTTACTTGTTTGGCTATAGACGAAGGTCTTCATTATATGGTTTTGGGTCATGTGAATGGTGTAGTTCAGTTATTTAAAGGAGATATCACTCGTGAAAGGTAAGTTATCGTATAGTTAATTTATGATGATATTACTTGTTCAAAAACAAATATACCGGCTTAAGAAATTTATCTCGCAAACAATTTTCATTTTTTTCAGTCTTTCAAAGATAGTTTACTGTGAAACCACTGTGTAAACATTTGTGAGTTGATAACTTTAGTGTTTCCAATAGAAGCTGATAAAGACAGTCAAAATTTATAAATATATTAAGAGATTTCTAATAATATTAACAATATGAAACAATATAACTTATCGATAATTTGTTAAACCTTTTGACATTCATCATATTCTATTCACTAATATTTTATTTGTTTCTTTTAGGCAGTGTAAACGTTCTATTCTCTATGAATTTCTATGTCCTGTCACTGGGTTAGGTTTATACGTCCCAAACAATCATTATCATCAGCAAAATAAACAACAAAATTACGCAAATAGTGATCTTTCAAATATTAATCAGTGTTTTGATCCTATTGTTTTCGCAGCTTCAGAGCAAAGTTTGATGAGTTTCATACTTGGTCAGAGAGAGAAAATTAAATATAAGGTAGGCTTATGGTTTTGTACAGGTTGGTTGTAAATCTGTTTTTTCTTTCGCTTAATTGGTTTGTCTTATTAAGCAGTTTTATACAACGTAGGTTGTAGTATGGATGTATATTAGTGCAAGTTGTGACACCTCATAGTAAGAAAGGTAGAAAAGAACGTTACAAGATTGGAAGGGAAAATAATTACATCGGTTGAAACATTAACTAAAAATCATAAATTCACTAAAGTTGGATAGTGGTTAGTACTGCGATCCACTACACTCGTTTCATCCTATTTGAGACTCGCCAGGTATATACATAGCTAGCCTTTGACCAACTTTACTAAAATACATGTTAATATTTGGCAATATTGAAGCAATCCACTCAGGATTCACACGTGCCAAATGTGACTGATTAGTTACAATCCTTAATATCAACGGAAAGATATAAACACTTACAAAATCATAAAGTTAGTACGGAAGCACTTTACACAACTCGAGAATTATAAATTGTGTGAACTGAAATAAAACTCAAAGAATAGAATATGGTTGCACCATTCCCGTGAATTTTCAATCAAGTGACCCAACTTTGTTTTTCTTAATATCTTATCATTTTAGTTGCAAATTCTATAGTTCTCAAAATTAAAAACTATGTTTGATATGCGAGACCTATGATATTTTCTAGATCATGCTTTGTTACAATTTATGTTTTGAGGAATAAATTATATATTTTGTAAGCAATGATGGATAGTGACTAGCAGTGGAGTCCAGGACGCGCGTTTTCGTCCTATTTGGGACTCGTCAGCTGGATGCACCTGCATCTCAGCGTTGATGTCCACTCTGGGACTCGAACCCAGTACCCGTCATGTTATCCACTCAGGGCGAAACGCGTGTCCTGGGTTCCACCGCTAGCCACTATCCATAATTGCTTACAAAAAGCTTATGAATTAATGCAATATCGAGGCATACGCATAGTATACACATATGCCAATAACAGACTGATCAATTGCAGTCTTAAACGTCAGTGGGAAGATACAAGCCAAACAATACCAAGTAAATCATATATTGTTTTAGATATAATATTTTGTTATTAGTATGACTTTGTTGTGCTTGTATACGTGTTACGTTGATATTTTCTATCTAAATTCTATTTCGTATAAAATTTTAAATAACATAGTATGTTAATGAATTTACTTCGAAAACCTACTGCACACTTTGATCAGTACTGTTTCATATCCTCAGTTTCGCTTTTAAATATTTTTCCCATAAATGTATGTGTAGACTGTTCTGGACCGGTTTGGAGTACGACCTCACTGTACAACTATGCTATTTACTGATGATATTACTGGAGCCAGTCCTCAGTTTGCTGTAGCATGTTCAGATGTGAGTTTGTAAATTACTACCTAACATATCACAGAATCCGTTATTGTATAACATAAAATTGGCTAAATTGTATTATGGTGATATACCATTTATTTTATAGCCATTCTTGCAAGACTTAATAACTATTCATGTATATTAAGCCTATACATACACACATAAATTATTACTGTATAATATTTTTTTAAAGGCTGTATACTTCTACAATTGGGATGGTAGGGGACCTTGTTTAGCTACAGATGGCGAAAAAATTGCTTTAGAAACATACAAAAATTATTTGATTATACTGAAAAATACCGGGTAAGTTATTGTTTAAATATCTATTTCCTCAATGTGATTTTAGTGAGGTTTCTCTCAATCTTTTTTCTATCTGATAATACTAACAATATTTTCTACTTGATAACAGCTGGCGAAATAAAGTTTCATCAGATGTATATGTTAGGGCTCCAAATGATTTCCAGTGTAGCAAGTTTTAAATGATCGAAAAACTAGGTAGAATATTTTCAACATTCAAGGGTATCTGTATGTTGACAATCTGAAAATAATCTGTTTACCATCAATAATTGCTGTAAAATTATTACATCCCTATTTGAAATACTTTTTACTACTTATCCACCTAATGTGTTCACGACTTCATGGGAACTCATGAAGTATCTGAGATCTTTACTTTATCTGGGCTACTTTTACGGACTTCAGTTAACACAATCAGTCATACTGAGTGTAGAAATTGACGTACACATATCGGTTCAGGCTGCCACATCATATCAGAACAGCGAGATTCAAGAGTAGTGGAAGGAGTGACAGTATGAGTGGTAGTAGAAATCATTAGGCATAGACACTGTGATTCGAGAAGAAAACATGAAATATTCGAATAAAAATGGCAAATTGTTATTTTGAAACGCAGAGTCTAATAAGAGACAAAGAGTGGTTACTTGCTTCGGTTCGGGCACCCGGGCAGTATCCCAGCCCTCACATAAATCGAATGATTTATGTGGCGCATATCTGTTTGATGCCTCTTTGTGCCAATGTTTATGTTTTAAATACATGAATAAATAAAGTGGTTACATTTATTCCATTGTGAGCCATTTCGAGCTATGTCAACCATCGTCTCCGACCATTAGTTGCGATAATCTCGCTGACCTCTTCATCAGAATAACCTCTTAAGATGCGGGTCACTTTGTTTCGACCATACCGAAGTTCATTGACTAATCATTAATTGTTGATTACTATCTTGTTCTGTGATTCTGCCACTTAGTGAATTTCGATATCCCCAGTGCCCCACACCAAGTTTATGATGTTAACTCATTTACTGAGACTGGATTCGATAGTGTTATTAAAATTTAACCATTAACTAGGTTTTTGATTTAAAACCAACCCCGCCTATTTTGGGGGCAAAGAATTTATACTTTAAGCTCTATATACATTAACCTACCATGGGTAATTTATAGCGATAGATTTGTGTATATTTTTAACTTGAGTATTATGTAGTGTCAAAATTGTCCAGCTCCATCATTCTTGCAGATGCATCATTTAACCCGGTAGTCAAATTGTGCTCAGTTAGTGCTTAATTATATTCACTACTCAAGATCACCACCCTGGTTATTAACCTTTTACCCATTTCATAATTATAATCCAGTTGTTACATGTTCTTCCATCAATCAAACATCTAAACGCCACGGATAAGTTGTATTTGCATCTCCAGATTCTGTGTACCATTTACTGAGTGTTAACAAGAAGGATTTAAATTTGTTTGGTTCTGTGCTATCACTGTAGTACATCTAACTGTATTTAAATTTGTACACAATTCTTCACCTAACCCCACTTTGGTAACAGTGTTATTCAAAAGTCAAATACGAAATGCAACAGGAATACTGCATTTCATCCAAGTGTTTAGTAAGCATGAGTTTAATCACACCCATTTAGATTGATTGAATGAATCAATAGATTTTTATTATTCATTGTATGAGCTAATGTAGTCACAAAACGGTTAATGAGATATGTGGTAAACAAACACGTACATACTCCAGACACGCATATATAGTAACGAACATGAATATAAGCGAATAGCTGTGCTCACGAAAATAAATACAATGTGATTAACACGGTCAGTAACAACGAATTCAATCGTTTTTTTTCATCTGAATAGTTGGACGGAATTGTGAAAAAGGTGGCTTAGTGGTTAAGGGACTTTCAGCCGCCGACCCCCAGCTTCGAACTTTACTTCAGCTACTTCTGTTAAGGCAATTTGAGTAGCTTCACTAACCCTCACACTTAGAATGTGTCTCGTACCCAATTATCTGGTGAATAAATCTATTCATTATAATAACAATGATTATTTTCGTACTATGTACGAACCAATCAAAATTCTTTCACACATATATGTTAGTAACTGTGGCGTGCTTCTTTTTTCCTTTTATTTCTAGGGAATCACTAGTCAATTCCTATAATCCATTTTTAAACTTATCATATAAAAGTAAAGATATAAAGAAATCATTGTCATCCTCATCATCAGTTGTAGCAACAGCAACAAACACTACTGCAACGACAACAGCGACAGGAACAACACTTTCACCACCGCTTCCATCATCTCAATCATTTAATTATATTACTTCGGGTACAATTGTTATCCAAGATTATAATAATAAATTTGTTGCTGGTGAATTTCATTTCACCTACTTCAAAGCATTATTCATTGAGTGGAATGGTATTTATTTATTGTGTGGGGATGAATGTTTCAATCAATCAATAGAAGAAACATTGAGTAATAAAGATGAAGATGTTGTTGGAACGACTTCGAAAGTTTGTGAAATTGTTTTTATTTTTATTCTCTTTGTCTTTTATATTGATTTTAAACTTTGGAGTTCGTCTTTCCTGAGTTAGGATGTATTACAATCCATACATGTGTGAGTGTTACTAGGATCGGAGATTTGTTAAGATGGTTCAGTTTGGAGATCACACCTCAAGAGTAGGCAAGGCATTGCTTGTGCACCGTGGACGATAGGGTGAGCAGGTATGTAGGTAGGCATAGGGTACTAGTAGAAAATGGTAAAACAGTTGATAAGATAGTGAATGTTTATCAACTGAGGGTGTTTAAGATGCGTATTACGTATGCCTAACCACTCTCTACTTTCAAGATCAATCTTCTCTGTTGTAGGAGAACGTTTGTAGAAAGCTAAGTGCTGTCGAACTAAAAATTGCCATCGGTCCATGAAATCATTGACCTTTAGTCTGAGCCTCATTGATTGATGCAGACGATCTGCTTAGGGTATGCAAAATAACCTGGGTCAGTCGTCTGACACGTTGCGTGAGATGCCTCAAAATCAATCACATTGGCGGAGTTGGCTGATACCACAAACTATTTCCAGCCAAACAGCTATTGGAAACTAAAAATTAATGGGCAGCACCTTCGTCCAAATATAGGATTCTTAAGACAAGCGCATCTACGACCCTACCATAAATTAAACTCAGAACTTTTCACAAGAAGAGGAGAGTGGATTATTTCAGATAATCGAATCGAAGTCTAATGGTGAAGATTTCTGACTCTAATCAACTCTCAAAAGATTTGTAAAGTGCCATCCACAATGCCAACATGGTGTAGGCGTTTTCAAGCTGTTGGTTAAGAAAGGGTTGACTATGTGATCCTCTTGAAGTTGCAACCATATGTAATGCACTGAATCGCTCTGGTTTCCTCAGCATTTCAGTGCCATATTTCAGATTTGTCAGTTGTCTACATTCCACAGTGACTGTTTGTGACATTATCGGGCTATCATCTCAACTTTTCTCAGTAGATGTGCGCGGGCGCCAACATTTAGAGATTATAGTTCATAGATAAGAAATATGACAATTGAATTGGTCGATTATACCTCAAAGCGTTCACTTTCTGCCTAAGCAATGGCTGCATAAGTGACCAAGTTATCAGTTTCTCATTTTTTGAGCCCCGTACATTGATATTACGTACTAAAAAATGAACACTAGTCTTCGAAAATCTGGGACAATATTTTTGATATCTCTTCGGAACTCGGATCGCGTGGTTTGTATTGTAATATAAAACTTGGGTGCCTTTCTTGTTCTGTGTTACCAAGATTGCACATCAGTCATTATATCTTTCATGCATCATGTTGATTTGCAATCAGTTAGCTACAACGTAGGACCAGGCACATATATACAATGGTTCAAGTTGCCACACCTCATTAGCACAACGAGATTATCACCGAATTCATAGTAGTTACTTCAATGGTAATAATATATAAAAGAAAGATTGTGTATCTGGATGTAGTACAAGAAGAAAGAATTATTTGATAGAAAGAAAGGATTAAAGTAATTTTAATCTCATGGTTTAAGGGAAGACAAAAAGTGTATACACCGACGCCATTGGGATCGATTCTGAGCCATGTCACCCACAGTCTCCAACCATTGGTTACGATAGTCGCGTGGACTCTAACCAAGTAATCTGCATCTACTAACATTGCTCAGACCAGAAGTTAATAACTTCAAGGACTGGTTCCATGTTTTGGCTTAGCCGCCCCTAACTTTCTTCCACGCGTCTTCAACACTGGTTAGCGTTACGCGCGAACTCAATTCGGAAGAAATCTTTATGATATTTGAACCAGGAATTAAAAGTTATGTTAGGAAATGGATCATGGAAAAATTCAAAAAATATTATTAGCGATTCGTTCAGCTGTTGATGCCTTGTGGGATGTAACAGGTTGATTCAACGTCGTGATAGATGGACGTTCCCACAAATTTCGATTAGCTTGATCTGTTATTGAAACAATAATTTGATGTCTGCGTCAGTTGAAATTCTCTTTCAAATAACCACCTCCAATTGTTATAACCTTAATCAGGAGAGATTTGTTTTGGGACTTGCACCGGATATCTCTAGACCTAAAACTCATGAATAACCTCAATCACGATGGCTAAAATCTGCTATTTGCCACACAATGTGGAGATATCAACGTAATAGTATGCAAGACTAAGTGATCTCAATATTAACTGCAATGAGTGAACATAAGTTACAACTCTTCAAATTATGCTTCTGTACAAAGTATCAACGGAAAAATAAGCATGAATTAATGTCATAATGAAACGGAAAAACTCAGCTTTCCAGGTCGATTGAGCTTCAATCGACTAAGAGCTTGTTCATCATATCCATGTTTGGTTTTTTTTAATAGTTGTAGATTGTATCAAAAGTATTGGGGGCATAATTTTGAAGGTTCATTGTTTGTGTTCATTCATTAAAGTTATCCTTATATCCTCAAAATCTTGTAAACGATTGCGTTAATATTTTCGAATTGCTCACGTTCAGACACTTCGAAACACTGCTCAAGATCGGAATTATAAAAAGATAAAAGTATTGTAATAAAGATTAATCTGTCCGTAGAAGTTCATACAATGATGGTAAAATATCTCATTAAATGTACTACCAGCAATTTGAAGCACCCGATAAATTGAAAAAAAAAACCGAAATGTATTGAAGAAAACTTACAAAAATGCTGTTTACTAAAAATCTCTCAGCACTGCATGATGAAGATGATTTCGTGGGAATGAAATAGGATACTTCAAGAAGATAATCACAAACTCAAGGAAGACAAACTTGTCCTACGGTTATGATTGTATAATTTATAGTAAAAAATAGCATTCTTTAAACACAGGTTTTTTTTACACTAATTAATAAGTACATTAAAATAATTATAAATTTCGTACTAAACAAATATTAAAATCCAATGAGTAATTGTAAGAATAACGTAGAATAACGTACTGAAATAATTAGCAACTCATTTTGTCAAAATAAATGGAATGTTTAGTTGAATTATTCTGTAATTTTCCTTATGATCTCTTCTTTTCACTATTGTTCAGTTAATTTCATATCAACTTTGTTCCAGATGATTTGTTTAACTGAAAAAGATACTCAAATTAAGTTGGACATGTTATTTTCAAAAAAGAATTTCAATTTAGCTATTGAGTAAGTTAGGCACATGATATTGTCAAGTTATTATTGTTATTTTCGTTGTATAACACACTTCCATTTGAACCAGCTGCTAATATTTAACATTGGGCATAGGTAATAGAAAAAGAGAGGTTAATTCAATGTTATCGAACAAAGACCAACTCATTTATCGACTAAATGTGGTAGTAAACATCCTATTTACTGGTATGAAATAAAGAAAAATTACCGTAGAAACAATAACTACTTATTAGTAATACACTCAGAAACATATATGCTTACGCATACGCTCACTTGACATATCTACACATTTTCATCTAAAAGGTTTACATGTATTGAAGACTGATTGGTATTGATATGGCATTGGTGTTAAACCTCGGACTCTATTCCCTATGTTTGCATCAAAACAATATATTGTGATTTCAGGATCCTAGCCACCGATGAGAAAAACTGATATTTAACATGCTGGTTGGCGAATTTGATGCATTTGGAATATTTGAAATTAATACTTGTTTATATGTTATTGTTCTGAATCTCGAATATAAGCTGTTTTGTCATGGCTATGACTAATTGAACCTTTATTTGATTTTGCAAACTCAAGCGATAAGTTACAACAGTTGAAACAAGATTCGTATGGATCCACCTAGCGGAGTTGAAGAACCCTGATTCCAAACCATTGGGAACATTAGCTCCAGGATCCTAAGGGAACTAATGGCGTATGAACCTGTTGTTGTCCACCGGATACCATTTGATTGAACCGACTAACGTTGCTCCGTTGCCTTGTGGTTTGGATCTCTAGGTCCAAGGCGTAGGAAGTGATCCACTAAGAAAACCACCTGCTTCGGTTTGGGGAACTGGGCAGTATATCGACCTTCATACAGATTTTCTGTAGCGCATATATGTTTTGATGCCTCTTTGTATCGATGTTTATGTGTTTACATCAATAAATCATAAATGTATCGAGACCGCTGACTGATATCATGTGCCAAGTCACCAATTAGAATCCTTATTCTAATTTTGGTCTATTTTACGTCTACCATTTCCTCGTCAGCCTAATGTCCCCGAATTGATCAAATGCACGTCCGATCAGCACTATTAACCTTGAGTCAACAGCTAGGTTCCTATCGATCCACTTTCCTCAAGCTCCTTTCTTTGCCCTGCCTTGAGTTCAAAAGCAACAGCCATCTTCTATTATCTTTTTACTTCGAACAGTCATGCTTTACATACAAGCATATCGGAATACATCACTGCATAAAATGAAAATTAATAAAACATAAACAAGTCAAAGATGGCTATGAATGAGGAAGACTGTAAGTACCAGTCTGACAACAGAATTAGAAATAGCAAGTCACATAACAGTACTTTGTATATTAACCGAAAGCTTACAATAAATGGAAAATAAATACATGATAATTTAACAACTCAGTAACTATGATCCAAAATTATAATCAATGAGTTTCGACAATTCCAACTTTTACAATATCTTTCCATTATTACAAGTTTACTTGATTCTTAAGAAATATTTTTCGAAAATATGAGTTTCGTAAGTTAGTATACGTCTAAATTTCTCTGGCTATCTACCATTATCATCATGACAAGTTCAATAATTAATAAATGTAACAGTTTGATCCCTTGTTTATACATAATAACCCTTGTGCATCATTTTTATTATTAAGGCTGAAACATATGAAAAAAGTCCACAAATTCTACTCTAAGTACTCAAATACTTTTATATATTGTTATTATCTCCATATAAATAGAATATATCATCTGAATACCCTAAACTATTCAACAAAACAACCTTGAAATACCAAAGAAAGTAAATGTAATCTCTATTAATAATATCAACAAAACTTACTGGCAGTTCTTAACTCAAATGATAACTCTTAAATATCACTTTCATTCAACTGTACGAGGTTAACATTTAAATCGATAATTTATTGTTTTACAATGCATGATATTGTTAAAATATCATATTCTAAATTGCTCAACTTTTGTTAACTGTTCGATTATTATCCTAACTCAGTCGTTCTTGTAGTTGACTATAGAAACCAAGGCAAATTAGTATAAATATATAAACTAATTTTAATATTTATATATTTTTTTCTGCTAGTGAGAGTTAGTAAAATGAAGCAATTTCTCTAAATTACATTTTAGGATAGCTAAATCTCAACATTTTGATGAAAATGAATTGGCTCACATATTTTGGCGTTACGCTGATCACCTTTATAAGTAAGTTATGTTCATAGAATAGTCATTTCGCATGTGACTTATCATCTAATAGTTATTTTTATTTAATTCTCTGTAATTGGTTTGTTTGTTTCAAGGACCTAATAATTAGAAAATTAAAATATTGTTACTTACTTACGCCTGTTTCTCCTAATGGAGCATAGGCCGCCGACCAGCTTTCTACAACACACTCTGTCCTGGGCCTTCTTTTCTAATTCTATCCAATTCTTGTTCATTTTTCTCATGTCTATCTCCATTTCTCGATGTAATGTGTTCTTTGGTCTTCCTCTACTCCATCAGCTTTGAGGATTCCATGTGAGGGCTTGTCTTGTGACGCAGTTCGGTGTTTTCCTCAATGTTTGTCCTATACACTTTCAGCGCTACACTTCAGCACTGTACACCCTTCTGTTACATTATGTTTAAGGAAATATGTTATTTCATGAATTCTAACCTTGATATCCATAAAGTTAATTGACTTGATTTCATTTAAATGATCGATTAACCTGTCGGATTTTCTATCTATTAACGCGACCTGTGTAACTTAAAGATTATTTTCAAGGTCTCTGGTACCTTTTCTTTAATACTTTGCAATCCGCAATTACGTACTCCTTAAAAATGTACTGATGAGACAACTCAAATATGACCAAGATTTCAAAATTAAGTAAAGAAGCTTATTGAACTTCAAAATGCTAATCATTGTATTGCGTTGTTCATCATCTTAAAACTGTAAATATTTTCTGTAATATAACTATTTCTCGCTTTCTCTTAAATAATAATCAACTGATTTTCTTGTGTGCACTAAAATCACGGATTACTTTTGTATTATTTCGTTTCTACATATCAGACAAAAAGATTATGATGCATCTATTCGTGAATATATCAAGACAATTGGTAAACTTGAAGCGTCATTTGTTATCCAGAGAGTAAGTTTGTTTGTTGTTTTCATGCTTCATGAGACTTTTTATTTTAATATACATACGAATGAATTAAAATTTAAGCACACAATGAATTTTGAACTAACAAATTCACAACCAAATGATTATCAAGCTTGTAGTTTGGGTAATATGATAATTGTATCTATATTTCGAAGTGACTGTTTGAATTGCTTTTTTTAGTAGCGTCCTTTTAGGATATTTTTGGGTATAGTTTGCTTCTGTGATTGTAACAAACGAACAAAATCTTCAACTGTTACCGCAATATTGTCATTAGTTTAACAGCTATTTATTTCAGACTATCATAGTTCATATTCCTCTTACTCTCATCCTGTTGGAATGAACTAAAAAAATAAAACATCAAAATTTGTTACTACTATATATAAATGAGTATATTTCCCAAAGAAAAATTCGTATTACCAATCATTCCAATAAGTTCCGTGCCTTTAATCAGCATTATTTCCTAGAAATTCTCAATTAGTTTTTGTAAAAGTACTTATTCGATAGTTCAAACATTCAAGTCATACATTTTATTTTACCTAATAGCTTCCACTAAGGTTTACTGATTGATGAGCAACACTGTAAAACTAATAACCCGTACTAGGTTTTCCGTATTAAACATAACCACTCCTCTGTTTTTATTGAGGTATATTAGACCAGGTCAAACATGCAGCCATTTATTACCAATACTTTCTCTTTTTCTTTTTAATTTATTTTACCATTTGATCTTATATCATAAGGTGATAACTCAGTCGTTTAATGATCATCAACGTCGAATCGGGTACAAATTTACTTCAGCCTGAGTTCTCGTATCATATTACCACGACGAAATGAAATTAACAAGATGAATATTGAGTAGATCGAAATATTGTGGCAGCAATGAGAACATAGTTCGAAAATACAAAGTAGAGAGGTGTTTATGAAGGAATACTGACCTTCATGATCTAGAGCGAGATGAAGAGTGTGAGCATCTGCGTCATTGTGACTGGTTCTGGGTCACTTTACACAAGACCTCCAACCATTGATCGTGATTATTTCATTATTCCTAACCGGTGCCCCCAAATGCCCTGGTACGGTCGAGAGTGGGGAGAGTCCGCTCTCCCTCTCGAAATGCTCTCACATGGCTACGCGTATATAGCCTCTGCCAGGGAAGTCCTACTTACTGCCTTCTCGTGGCAGGGGTGTTGTTTACGAAAATGAGGGGACGAAAAGCGAATGTCCGGCGCTTTAACCGGATCTCAAACCAATGGTGCACATGGGCTCCAGTATCCTGAAGGAACAAATGGCGTATGAACCAATCGTTGGTCACCGGCTACCATGGGACTGCATCTCCTTACGATGCTCCACTGCCTTGTGGGTCAGACGTTCAGGTCGAAGGCTCGGGGTGTGGCTCCCTAAGAAAACTACCTGCTTCGGTTTGGGCACCCGAGCAGTATCACAGCCCTCACACAAATCAATTGAGACTTGTGTGGCGCATATGTATTTGTTGCCTCCTTGTGCAAATGCCTATGTGCTAAAAATAAAAAAAATAAAATAAAAAATAAATATTCCTAACCGATTATTCTGCATTTACGAACATATCTCAAACCAATAGTTAATGATTCCATGAACTGATATTGCGTTTTGGTTCGGTCATCCCTAGTTGAAGTAAACACTAAATGATAATATCCTTTATTTTTAACTACCAGGTGACTTGCTCAGATCTACTTCGCTTACTTCAGTTTAGATAATCCAGTCTCATTGTTTTTCATGATGAAACATACGAAGTTAATAAGCTCTTTTGTAGTTACTGCATTATACCAGTTATTTTTTGAGATTATCTAGACAATGTGATGACGTAGTTGCTATGATCCCACTGATACAAGTTTTATCATAGGTTTTCTTTATTATTAATTTTTCACTATTCAAAAACAAGGGACATTTGAGCGAATCATCTTTTTCAATAACATCATCAGGCTCAATAGTCATAAGTCCATAATTATTGTAATATTTTACGAAGGCCATGCATTAATGAACTTGACAACATTATATGTTAAAAATGGTGGACTTTTACATCTGTTACGACATAAATGCTCCAAAATTATGTTATTTGTAAATTCTTTGAACTTTGCTTTTTAATAGTTTCTTGAAGGTAGTCACATCATTCAGTTAACTACCTATTTAGAAGCATTAAAAGAACGAAACTTGTCAACAAGTGATCATTTAATATTACTCCTTAACTGTTATTGTCGATTACAAGATGTAGATAAGATAGAACAATTTGTTAAAGTAAGTTAAAATGTTTTTTTTCCATTTTCTGATACGAAATTTTTTGTAACAAACTGTTTATAATAGAAAGTGAGATTCGGTAGCCTCAAAACTGAACCTCTCACTACTAGTACTTAAGTTCAATATAATATTTTACAGGTTTTAGTAAAGCTGAATCTTGTCTCCTTAAATTCGCCTTTAATCGCCATGATCAAGCTATTCGTTCGAGAAAACAAATCTAATCACTAGTCACTTATACACTGAACAATTTTAATACGTATGTTTTATGTAGTGAATTTTCTATGAGAATTAATATTTACAAAAATATATCAAAGAGGCTAATAGTGTGTTTTTTAATGAGTATCAATTTCGTCACTTTAATCTCTTGGAAACGTGGAGTTCGTATTTTTACAACAAAGATCACTAGTAGAACGATCTTTCTCCAGTGCATTCAGTTCAGGAACAGGAACGATATTAATATTGAACCGAAGATTTTTCAAGACGCTTATTTTTAAAGCAATTAGTCCCTTTTAAAACTTTCGATAAAGCAATGAGAAGACGGAGTTGATCTCAAAAATGTGATGTATTTGTGCTACACATTTCGAACAATTTGGTGACACATATACTTGTCAGGGTATTTTGTGTGAAGACTAATAAACGTCAATTAAATGAAAGTTCAAGTAAACAAGGTAATAAAGTCGAGAGATGGTATAGGAAATTGTTGAATTACCGTAGGCCATAAGATGACTTAAGGATTACCGTAGTAATTTCGAGGTTACGATAGATCGGTTTTGTACACATGAGAGAGAGGGGGGGTAAATTTGTGAATAACTAAGGCTTCAGTAAACCTGAGAATTCGCCCTTGATAATTATTTTTGTTTCTACAAAACCATTGTAATTACCATTGAAATATCGTTTATCTGATGTCCGTTATAAATAGAAATCACCTTATAGTAAATAAAAATGCGACATTCTGCTTCCAACGTAGGATCTATAAACAAGTGGATCAAGTTGAACTCATATTAGTGGATATTATCTATATGTGTATTTGAATGGCAAACCTTTGCGGGTTCTACAAGTTAATATTTTACAATATTACCCTGGTTGTCCGCAACTAATTAATTCCGAAGCTTTACTCTGTGAATTCAAATACTTTAATAGTCTATGAATTTAAGAATACCCAGTTATGCTTTTGGAATATATTCATGATGAGTGAATATAACATAGCTAGTATCTATGTCAGTAGTTTCACCTCCATCCAGTATAAACGATTGCCGAAAATGTTTTATTGTGTTATGATAAGACTAGACTAAATGGTTTGAAGAATGAATGATACAGAATAGTAAAAGCATATCGTTGCTTTTCGTTCCAGAACGACACATTTGAGACCATACTATCTTTGTTTTCTGTTACTTTATTAAGTCTATCCAAGAAGCTTACATTTAACTCAACATCTCAGGTCATCAGTGTATTTAGTAGTTGTTATTATTGACGGTCCAGTTTTTGTCTTAATCTAATGCCACTTCTTTTAACCCATTACGTTCATATAATTTAGTTCCATTTACTATTTTATTTTATTTTTCAAAATTAAATATAGGCTCCTGTAAATCCGATGTTAGACATAACATCAGCTTTGCATGTTTTAAAGCAATCAAAATATATTAATGCCGCTGTTAAACTAGCTGAAAATACTGACCGAAACATAGACTGTATAGGTCTTCTAATAGAAGACTTAAATGATGGTAAATCAGCACTTAAAATGATCAATATATTGAATTTCGATGAAGTAAGTTGTATGGTAAAAGTCTTAATTACTTTTTTATCGATTTGGACTATGTGTTTTATCTCGTAGTTGATTTTCTTTACAGACTGATATGAGATGGTGTTTCACTGAAGTCCAGGTGGCACGGAAAAACTTCCAATTTTGTATGGGACTTTTCTGCAGTACACACTTTAGGAACCAAACCTGAGGACCCTAATGGTCTTGCTATGAAAGTTTATTCTTAAGACTGTAGATTTTGAATCCAGTGGTTCATATTTTCGATTTTAGTAAGTTACCAGTATAGTGTCAAGATCATCTACCTTCATTGGTAACTACTGTCTCACTTTCTATATGTTAAATTCGACCATTGATGGCTTCTCACAAGAATTTGGAAAAACTCATTTCAAACCAGGTCACTATTGAGCAAACGATTCTATCATGTTGAGAGGTTTTGTAGAAGCTTACCAATGGAACCGCATGATTGTCTCACAAAATCGTTAATTGATTGAAGCTTATTCCACCTACATTGACATTAAACTACCAACTTGTCTCTTATCACTAATTTCATAGATGGACTATACTTTATTGTATTACGGAAAATTTAGATAATGGATAAATGAAGCATTAATGCTGTAATAGTCCATCAGGAATATCCCTAAAATGTAATCAGGCGATATTCTTCACATGAGGTTATGTATCTGAAGTCAATACCTACTTCGAAATGTATTGGTTACTAAATGTGAAAGTAGATATTAGATTGGTTCATACAAACTTCTCATTTATTTCTGAAACAGCCGAATGATTTCAGCAAGTTATTTTCTCAGAGTGATTTTTTATCGACCATAAATGTTTTGTAATGATGATGCTGTTGACAACCAAAATTCCAAATGGCTCATACATATAGCAAAGCATACTCATAATCGTTAAAGTAATTTTAGAACTAAATGTCAAAGTATTTCTATATGTAAGAGAGTTCAAGTGATCGCTATGATCTTGATTTTAGTGCTTGGTTTTTTCAGAACATCGAAAAAAATTCATATACCATCTCGTTATTATACTGAATTGCATGCACAATCATTATTCTCTAAATCATGTTAAACATTATTATTTATACTTCAAGTTTATTTCTCATTATTCGTTTCTTTCCAGGCATTGAAATCTATCAGTGAATATGGACATCAGTTAATTACTCATTGTCCTGAGGACACAATTAAGCTTTTGGACAAGTTATGTGCTCATCCGGGTAGGATTTGTATTTTCTTTTGCTTTTGAATGCCATCATTTTCTCAAATTATTATACTTTTTTCTCGCTTGTTTTAAGAACTATCCACTAGAATCTTTTGTTATTTTTCAGATATATGTGTAAATATTCTTGTTGATGTTATGTAGCCGACATAAACATTCAGCGTTTGATTGAGCCTTTTCGAAAATCTAGGTAACAGAAAATGATACTGCGGTGTATTTCGTTTTCTGTTTCATGCTTTTTCGCTACATGTATCTTTTCATTAAGATTTCAACCTACCATTTGATGGCAATCCACAAAATAATTCTTGAAGTATCTCATAATTGGACTTTTATGTTAAAAATCTACATTTTCCTTGTGAATATGATTGATCTTGAGCATGATAATGCTTTTCTAATCATTTCATTATTGATTACCGTCAAATTAATCATACAAAACCAGTTGCATAATAATAATAATTGTAAGACTTGACATAAACATTTATCTCCCCACATAATCGTAGTTTACCTGCACTATAAGTTCTTTGAATTGTTCTGTCCAAATTTAGTATTAGCATTTCGCTGGTTGTATCGCATATACAGTGGCTTTTTGCTCACAGTTAGGCCTTCCTTATGCTCTCTTTTCTTGGCTAAATGTTTATTTATAAACACCTCAGAATATCAATTTTCTCAGGGTAGTACGCAGTACCTTTGTTTCTTTTTCAACCGCATCTAGGGAGCATATAGTCTTTATTCTCTAATGAAGTGTTTTAATCAGGTTCCTTTTATATTGTAGAGAATCAAAACTAAAAACATTTGTATATTGGACAGTCTAAGTAGTTTTCTTGTTTAATTTTCTTCTCAATAACCCATCTACTCTTCTTGTAAATAAAACACCTAGAAAGGCTCTCCTACCTCTATTTTGTTCCTCACATGTGAATTTTATGGAGGGATGAACTTCATTAAATCGCTTGAGTGTTTCTTTCGGGTCAGTATGGTCGTTACAAAGGATGAACTTATCGTACATATATCGGCAGTTAAATGCAAACTTGTCAGTCTGTTGTATTAGTGGACCGTTTTCTAGTTTAGCGAGAAAAATGTCAGCCAATATTGGGTCACTTAGTGAGTTCATCATGACACCACTTATTTGTCTATATATTTCAGCATTGAATTTGAAGTTTACTTTCATAGTACATTTCAGTAATAATTCTTCAATGATGTCCATAGAGATTGTAGTGTGTTTCTTGTTCTCTAAGTTATTCACAGATATATTCTACAGTCTCCCTGAGTGGAACATTCGCAAACCATGATGTCACGTCCAGGAACTAAAATACATCTTTGATACGATGCTTCACTATGCATTCGTGGAGTGGTTTTAAATGGTTACTAACCACTTTGATATAATATGATACGGGAAATTGTACATGTCGTAAATTGGTCTCGATGAGATATCCGGTTTGTGCACCTTCGGTAGTCTGTAGAACCTTAGTAAATGGATACATGTCTGCGTAATTGTTTCGTATATGTTTGGTAGAATTCCCTATTGATCTCTAAATTTTTTAAAGGTCAAGATGTTATTTCTCTTATCAACATAGTCTTTTTTGTTAAGTAGGACAGTTTTTTTCCTTTGTATTTGCTTTGAACCTGAACACTTTTTGGATTATTAATGTTAATATATCTATAGAACCTGACGATAATTTATTGAAAAGAATATCCTTCCTTCATATATCTGTGTTTTAATATGATGAGGATTTTTCAGCGATGGTCACCACTTATTTTATTCGTCACAATATTTTTACTGCTGCACGTTTTTACTTATGAATGATTATTTCCTCGTTGTTTGGTTGTAGATGCTAGTCGAATCAATGTACAACACTTCTTGAAAGTGTTTGTCAATAATCCTAAAGGTTTAATGCAGTTTCTTGATCGTTACATCAATGTGAGTTTTATTGCTTTTGTCGTTATTTCTTGTTGCTGTTAATGCAAAGTAGTCATTTTAAAGACATACTTCTATGTTTTCTTAGCAATTGAATTATTAAATAACTAGTTCCCTAACATAACATTTACAAAAGTTCCATATTTAAACAACTTTAATTATTTTTGTAACCTTTTTATGGCTATACAATGTGACACAGTGAATATTGGTAAACTTAGATTTTAAATTATTTGGTAGAGATGATTGTAAATTGACTGGTGTGACTATTTACGCTAATCGATTCAAGTGGTTATACTATGTATTTCGCTGGTTACCTACTGACTACCTAAATATATTGCACTGGCCAGCCTACAGATAAATATATTCATTCGTTACCTTCCTCTTATTTTTTTTATTTTTAATAGTCGTTTCTTACTTTCCAATATTCTATTCTACTTGTCGTTTATAATCTTTATTTATTATGCTTAGTTTTCTTCGTTAATTTCGGTATTATTGTTTTCACCTCTTCGTACTGATCTACGTTGTTTCTACTTGGATCTATGCATAAATATATCGCAGGTCGTATATTGTTTATTACCGACTGTAACAAATTTATCTAAATTACATGACATTTGTAAAGTTTAAACTTATTCACCCCACAAATGACAAACAAGATACGGAAGATCAGAGGCAAAAGGATGCAATATTGTTTATCACTATTGAATATATCCTAGAAAATAATTATTAATGCCCGCGTATTTATCCATTCAACATGGATCTTTCAATGAGAAGAATCTCTTGTAACAACACTAATGATTAGCGAGTAAATACATCCACAAGTATAAAATACGGTGGTTTCAATAAAACTAATCTAGTCGTATCATCATTGCTTTGTCTGGGGTTTTGGTAGTGATTTTTTTACGGGTGAGGTTGCTAATCTTAAACTTGAATCCCATTTTTTGCCCGGGCTTAGGAACGATAGTAATTTCAGATGGTCTCTAGGCCTAGCTCTCATTACTAGTGTTCTATTTTGCATAATTAATCTTTTTATATGTTCGAAATTCTTTTCACCATAGTTTTTAAAAAAATTTCGGGAAGGGAAGTATGCATAAAAGATAACTTAGATTCTAACAATAAATCTCTGTATACATCACTTGGGATATCAGAACATAATTTTAACTGTTGTTTCCATGTTTTTAACCTAACAACAATTTATGTGTAAAATAGTATTTTAGAAAGTCTTCTTTATGTATTGAAAAGTATTTTGGAATTTTATCGATTGCTTTACTCTCAACCATCGGCATCATTATTGAGCAATAATAATAAAAAAACGTTAGACTAAAATCTCACAGAGGGATCAGTCTATTTAATCCAAGCAAAACGAGAATAAATTCTACCGTGACTGATTCATAATAATGAGCAACTTCCATTTCGTTTATTAGAGACTTCCAAGACTTGATGCAATCAAGTAACCATGATCTAAATCACGTTGTTGTGCTACTTACTGATCTGTATGTTTGGGTTTATCTAAACTTCTTAGCTATCTATATTAAAGGGAAAATTTAGACTATAAGTACTCAGTGTTCAAACTTTGTATCTTCAGCTCTGTAAAAGAAACAATTATTTAAATTTATCGATTATGCACTGTTTGAACGCTACTTAAGCACTATTTTTTCATCTTTGTATTTTGTTGATCTTGGTAGTCGGTAATTGCGAATAAACGTTGGCAGTTGTGCGGACATGTAAGTATACACTCGGTCACCGTCGCAATTCACACGAATCTCATAAATACTGTTCAGCTGATCCATGATACTTTCATTCAACCACTCACCAAACACCCATGAATTTTCTAGAATAGATGGATTAAATTTAGTAGTGGAATCTTGGGCGCGCGTTTGTTCCTATTTGGAACTCGTCATGTAGATGTACCTTATTATGAATGCTATTAAAATGCTATGGATTTTGTATTTTCCTCGTGGTTTAATTGTTTTGTTATTTTTCATATGTGTTCTATACTACATTGTTGTGTCTCTCTTTCTTCGCTTAAATTCAAGACGGCTTCACCTTCTAAATTGGTTGCAGGAGTTGTGGATACATTTTTAGAATTATTATTATATGAAGCGAATCTATTAGAAGCCGATAAATCAATGGCCAATGAAGAATCAGTTCAACTATTTCAAATGGCGATGCAATTATTATCGAATAGTGAAGTTAGTTTAAAGCAGCCATTTTTTCAAAATAATACCTTGCCATCACGAAGTATTTTTCTGATAATTTTGTTGTTTCATTTCGGTGAATAAGCATGGAGACTTTTGATTGTAACCATGTATAGCCTAAAAAGTTACTTACTACTATGATTTATATAGTTATGTTCTGTCATAAACATTTTTCTGTTTCCTACTCGAAAAATCACTAAGTTATCATAATTTATGGACTGATTTTTGACTCCTATCCAATCTCCATGAATAATGATAGCATCTATCTATGTGAATTTGGTCTAAAATCTTTGTCTGATATGCAATTTTTTGGATGGGATAATTTTAATTGCTTTCAATTTGACTTATTTGATACGTTGTTCAAATCTTATTGACGAGTCTTCGACGGGCGCAAAATGTATACCTTCTAAAAGGCTAACAGAGTGAATAAATATTTCTTTTCAGTTCATCTTTCGTTGCAGCCCTCTCTCTAATATTTGAATTAGCAAAATACTTTGATAACAAGTAAATTAAGTAGTTGTTGGGTAAAAATAATGAAACAAATATCAACTTTATGTAAGCACACAAAAGTGCAAGAAATTCTGAAAGGTTGGAAGGAATCAAATTAAGTTATAACCCACTTTGGTATGTCCTGTGTGGATGACTAGGATAGAGAGAAGGTTTGTATAAACTTTTTTTGAGCATAGTGGCTAGATTTTTAAATGTGAATTCTGATAACTTCAACAATATGCAAACGAAAAACCTGTAGACCATACAGAAAATTTTATGGGATACGCTGGATGCTTTTTAAAACTTTGTTCTTGTCAAGTTGTTTCAATCAAGTAAATGAGAGTAGACTTCTTGATCATCATTAACTGTCCGTCATCTAACCTGGCCAGATAGTGTTCAACCGTGAAACGACGAATTATTGGTTTTTAATTAGTTAGTAGTTACGATTTGTAGAATTTGTATTTAATTGGATACTGTTTATACATTACATTAGTTTTAAATTATGTTTTTTTTTGTAACCACCTAATATAGCTGCATTACGATGAAAAGAAAGCTTTAGTTATTTGTCATCAGCGACAATTTTACAAAGGTTGTATTTATTTATGGGAGAAACAAAAGTTGTAAGTTTTCTTAATTTGAATACATGACAGTGTGTTCTAAACTTATAACTTAGATATGATCAAATCCTTCGATATTACATATCACAAGATATGAATAAAGAGATAATGAGTGTATGTGAAGATTATGGGTACGTCGATATATATATATATATATATATATATATATATATATATATATATATATTTGTTTCTTGCCATTTCTTGTGTTTAATATCGCATCTTATTTTTAATACTTGAGCAAATTTAGTGATTGCCCCGTCTAATTCATGTTACATAACTTTTACCAAACTGATAGTGTGAAAAAAAGAGAATTCAGCGAAGAAAATTTTCTTTTCGACGAAATCATTTACTTAGGCTGTACATTCGTATATATAGTTATATGGAAAATTTATGTCTATTGGAGGATAGAAAAAATTTTTTGCATCACCAAAATGGATTCGAGGAAAATAACAAATGGGGTTACGTACTAATCAAGGGGTAAGGAAAAAAATCGTTTATAGGTCAGATAATAGCCCAATGACACTATGGGTTATTTTAATTATCTGATAAAGTATTAATTTTAAGTACAAGTTGTAATTACAAGTATTACAGCATGATGTTAAATATTTCATGATCGTTTTCTCCTTACAAATAAAAAATGTGATAAATCTTACTACCATTGCGTACATAATTTAATGCTTCGTATTTATGTAACTCTTCATTTGGTCTACTTGTCGTTATTTTGTGTAATGAATTCGGGTTTTTTAAATGATGAATGAATTTTAAACCGTCAAGCTAATCGACTAATGATATGCAATAGTTCTGTGACCGAATAATGGCTGCCCAAGAGAGAGTATTGTTGAACCAAGCCCTTAAGTAATTTCAAATCATACCACTGGCTAGAAGGATAGGTTTTACTGTATAATGAAATAAAATGCTTATTTACAAAATGTAACATGATAAGGTGACGTTAGCGATTAAAGGAAATCAATTTATAGTTTATTTACTCCCCAACCAATTAAAGACTAATTTTCAGGTCTAATTCTTGCTTGTAATATCATTCTGATTTGCTTTACAGGTTTAAATATGAAAAAAGTATACATTGTTTTATAAGTGAATAACCGCTTACTGATTTGGGCTCTGACTAAGCCACATTTACTAAACGTGTTTAGTGGTACGTCACTTTAGTGGAGTGTGATTTAAAAGCCTGGTATTTAAATCAATTCGTTAACAAATTATTTTATTCTGATACTATATTAGTAACTACCCGAGCTCCCAATTTTGGGGAAAATTTTACCTATTTTGGGGAAATTCTGGGGAAATGGCACAAAAACCCCGAAATTTCCCCAAACGTTGAGGATTTCCCCAAAATTTCCCCTGACCTTGGAGACGTTCCCCAAAATTGGGAGCTTGGGTAAGGCTTCAATTTCACAATGTGAAATATTATGCTTCTTGTCTGTTATTAAAATGTTCTTTGGCTTTCTACCATAGATTAATTTAATGATTATGTCTTATTTATGCTCTCGACAATTCACTTGTCCATGTTTATTATCTATCTAGTAATCAAATGCCTAATTTATGGCTTACTGCTTTGATTAATTACGCACACAAACCCGAACATTCAGATATTCTTAAACGAGTCATAGATCGTAAGTTCTATTTTTATCTATTTATCTAATGAATAATAAATTTCTTAACTTTTTAGTGAACAAGAACACGAGTGGGGACAATTGAATGTATTTGACACGAAATTACAGAGCATCTCAATAAAATCTGAGATCCACATAGTAAATAGTTAATTTGCAAAATATCGATCCATCGTCTCAAGCTCGACTGTTCCCTTTGCAAATATCAGTCCATTGTCTCAGATTTCATTGTCCATGCATTTTCGTACCAATTGCGCTCCGTTTCCGTTCTTTCCTTATCGATCTTCTACTGAAATACATTCTATGCTTGACCACCGTTATCTACTACTTATGTGGATATAAATAGCCTACGCCACAACTTCACTTTTATTACTCTATATTCACTATACTTATAAAAATGGTTGATTTGAATCAAGCTATTCATCTTTATTGAGAATTGTATCAAGAACTATATGAACTGTATGGATCATTCATGACCATCGCTGAAGAGTCTCGTACTTGGACAAAACGGTCGTCCAGTGCTTCCAGGTTTTCAATGGTGGTCTAATGTAGATGGCTTCATGATCTCATTGAAACTATATTAGAGACTAGTTCTCATAGCTTTGTTAAAATGATTCCGAGTGGTTAAATATAAACAAACTTCCTAGGAATGTTTAATAATGACTGTTAAACATGTTATCTTCCGAAATATGTTTGTTCATATCAGATATGCAAACCGTAAGAAGAACAATCTTATAATGAATAAAATGTGACATTTAATCTGCAGGTAACATAAGCTGTTAAGTACCATCGGAGTTTGCTGGGAAAGTACCTAAATCACTTTAGAACTAGCCTCTAGATAGTCAAGTGTGTGTAGATACTCATTGAAAATAATTTTATTTATAATAATAATCAATCAAGATATTCATTGATTGTAAACTTCTTAGTTGTCTATTTTTAACTGATTGTTGTGTATCACTTCAAATTTTACTTTCTATTCTTTTAAAAATATATACAGAAGTGGACCGTTTGAATCTAGCATCACCACTTGTTGTCCTGCAGTTATTGTGTGATAGTGATCATGAACATTGTTGTAATGTTGGAACGATACGTGTAAGTTATAATCATCTTTAAAATCAGTATCTGTTATATATAGGTAAGGCTACTAATAATATATGTATCTATGTATATTTCATAAATGGATCTTCACTTTTTGTACTTACCAGATATGTACATTGATTTGCTTTCTCAAATAATCTTCTGATTTCTTACGATGCTTATTCTGCTTCATAGGATTACCTTCTACGTCATTTAGAAGCTGGCAGTAATCGAATTAACAGTTTGAAAAATGAAGTGGATCGTCTTCGCAAGGAAACCATGCATAATCGTGAAGTAGTACGTAAATTAAACAATCAGTAAGTCTTTTTTATTCGTCAAATTTTCATGATTATTAATTGAAATCATGAACCGATCAATGTTAAACCACCATTGAAAACATGGAAGCAGTGAGCGGCTGTTTTATCCTGCTGTGGGACTCCTCAGCAGTGCGCATCCACGGTTCCTCACAAGGGATTCGAACCTCAGGACCCTCGGTTTTGCGCACGGACGCTTAACCTCTAGACCACTGAATCGGCACCCAACGCTGTTAATGTTTAACTTCAACCAATGATTATAACGTTGTGACTCTGTATTGATACTTGACTGCTTGATTGATTATGAGTTTAAACATATTTTAGTTTTTCTTGGCCCTCTTCAATCAGTGAGCTACAACATAGGATCAGGCACATATATGCATCGGTCCAAGTTGCCACATCTCATTAGCACAACAAGATAAACACTGAATTCGTAGAAGTGCTTACTTCAGTGGTGGTAATATATAAAAGGAAGATTGTACATAAGGATATAATACAAGAAGAAATAATTAGTTCGTAGAAAGAAAGGAATAAAGTAATTTTTATCTCACAGTTTAAAGGAAAACAAAGAATGTACACACCCACGCCATTGTGAGAAATTCTGCTCCATATCATCTATAGTCTCCAACCATTGGTTACGATAGTCGTGTGGACCCCAACCAAGTAATCTGCATCTGCCAACACAGTTGGATGAAGTTATCAACAAAAATTTTGGAGTGGTAGAAATATTTGTGGTAATGGGAAAGGTTAGATACATACGATAGGATTTAAGAAGCATGAATTCGCGGATTGAAAGGTACAAAATAATTTTAGAACTCAAGGTTTAAGGGAAGATAAAGAGTGGTTATATCTGTCCAATTGTGATCAATCCTTAGCCATCTCACCTGATAATAATCGCTCTGACCTCAGCCAGGTTGTTTGTACATAGAAACATGGTTCAGTTCAGTCGTCACTAATTCCATGGACTGGTATTACGTTTTGGTTTAGCCGCTCCTAGCTTTCTTCCAACCTCCTCCTACACCAGTAAACAACGCTTGTCGAAGTAGACAGTGATTAGGCAAGCAACGACACGTTGCTTTTTAAAAGATTTCATCTATAGAATAATTCTGGTATTTTTATGATAAGACTTTCATTATTTCTCTACAAAAGCATATTGTTAATTAACGTTTTTCATCTATTTTCCTACCACTAATTTGTTTATATGTTTTCGCGTTCTAGAGTGAAAATATTTCAACAACAAAAGTGTCAGCTGTGTCATCAAAGTCTGGACCCTCCATCAATTCATTTTTTATGTGACCATTCTTATCATAGGGTGTAGGTGAAATGTTTGGGTTTTATTATTTCGTTGTATAATCTGTGTTCTGTCAAAAAGTGATAAAATTATTTCATTAATCATCAATAAACTTTAGCTATTGTGAAGAAATTGGCAATCTCAGTACTATTGGTAGTCAGTAATAACCCAAATAATTCGGTGGCAGCGTCTCTTACTGATCTTACACGTTATATACTTTAATCCCATTTCTTAGAAGACTGTAGATGCGCCTCGTTGGCAAGTACCAACTACCATGAAATTTAGGTCGAGGGCTTCATACTGACTGCCCCTAACCACTTAGCGAAAACAGATCATCTTGTGCAATTACTTATACTAACAATCAAATTAAGTTATGCATTTGACTAACATAGCATTATTCTCTTGGCTTAGTTAAGGCGATCAAATTATCAGATTCTATAGACAATTTCGTTAGTATTAGGAATGTTGTTTAATTAGTATTAAACAATTTCTCCACCTTCTTTTTTCTATATCACCTGTTTACATTCCCGTCTCTCTACTGACATAGTGACAGTCATTGTACATTGGTTAAAACTCATTTTCCAGGATAATTAGAAAGATTAGGTGTTGAATAAATGGAATATACTTCTGGGTACGTTCAGCCGATGAGTCTCAAATAGGATGGAGTACGTGTACTGGATTTCACTGCTAATCACATTTTATATATTCCATATAAACTTAAACATAATGGTTTTATCGGGACAATCTCTACAGGATGACCAAATACCAACTAAAACTGATCAAGATTCAGTCAAAATATCAACAACGTGATAATCCAAACCATTTTAAATTAAAGATTAGATGTCTTACTGGAAAACAATACTTTTTTTGACAATTTCATATTTATATCTTCACCATTATACTTGGTATTCACAACGTTCAACTTGGAAAAGGCTGTGGTAAAACTATATATATATATATATATATATATATATATATATATATATATATATATATATATATATATATATATGATACTCATTATCTGACTATGAAAATTTAGTTTTTATCACGATTGCTAGAAAAATAACTGCTATGGTTTTGCATTGATAGACTGTTATATTATTGAAGTATTTGCTAATCTCTTGTTGAATTTTTCCTAACATAAAATAGAACTCTGGTATATAAAGATTAATTGATTTTTTCTACAGATAATATTCATCCACATTTTTCTTGTTAGGCTGTTCTTCATGTTGTTGGTGAGTTAGAAATGTAAGAATCTAACTCTCTCAAGAATCACACATGTATAAATTGTATTTGATATATGAAAACAAATTAAAACCAAGTCGTGGTAATTTTATTTAATAAATTACCTTGGTTAAGTTTTACGATTGAGACTCTTTTAATATGAATAGAATCTAATGTGAACTCGATAAATCGGGTAACTCATACCCAATATTTTGAAATCAAATCCTCAACATGTGATAGGATACAGAGAAAAATTAGAAATTCAAAAGAAGATTAGTATTCATGAATTCAATTTGGCTAATGAAATAACAACAAAGTTAGTAAAGTAAAAGTAAAAACAATCGGTCGAATAGCAACCAAGGTCATGGTGGATTTATGAAATAGAAAAAATATCGTGGTTATACTTACAAGCTAGAACTATTATTTATGCACAAAAAGACTAGATAACCTGAGTCCATTCTTTCAGCAAGATTCAATAAAACAAATGTAGAAATTCATGAAATACTGAATGTTTATCACACTGTTTCGTAGTTTACTAAACAGTTATTTTACATATTTTCCCTACTCGTGGAAAAACATCAATGTATCTTTGTATGTGTTTTATTCTGCTTATAAATTATTGATTAATAGATGCTTTGACAACTATGCTTATGGTGATCAACAATGCCCTCAATGTGCACCTCAAAATAAGTAAGTTATTTTGTCGTTATGGTGATCAAATTTTTTTCTCATACGTTTGTATTGGTTGCTGTGTACTGGCGTTTATTTTATCGGCATTACTATCATAGACTCACCATTAAATATTTCCTTTAAAAAAACACAATTTGCTTAAATTGGTTTAATTCTATGTTTCTAATTATCAGTTTCAGCTTATTTTCTAATATATTCAATATCACTAACATACAATAGATGTGGCTTACGCTTTGTGTTCCGGGCTTTATGTTGCTTATATCTCTCTATCGATCAATTGTAGTTACATTTTTTACAATATGTATCACAGCTTCAACTTTTTCTCAATTTTTTAATACTGTTCTCTTTGTAAACTTTCCATTCGCAATGTAAAAATAGATAAGCGGTTATTTTCATATCTTGAAAATTTTAACTTTTAAATTCTTTCAATTATTCTATGGTCTTTAGTCTCCATTCATGGTGTTTCTAGTTTGCACGAAATAATTCATGCTACATTTCATCAAATGAATCCTGTAAATGAAACGGAACCGATATCTCATTAACGTTTTACCTACCATTTTCAGTTTGACTCGATAAAATTTTATCGCGGAATTCCTTTGATTATCCAGACTAAAATCCTATCATCTTTGCTTTTGTATCTTAAGCTTTAAATATCTTTCAGAATTTCAACTGTTTTTCTGCATCCATTTGTGTTTTCATAATCTGTTGAAGTTACCAGGTTGGGTTCATCTACACCGTTAACAAACTTACTCTTAAGCAAGTAAAGTGGTTGTTTTATCATCCTATCATTCTGGTATACCCAGTTAGATTTCTATATCAATGTTGCTGTTATAGGTGTATAACTACTTCTCATACTATACAACCTTGTTTTTTCGTAATGTACTGTTAAGAAAGTTAGTTACTTGAATCAGTGCACATTGTTTAATATATATTGTTCATTTCATTAATATTTATAATTCAATTTTGATATTTTTAATTACTATAGTTCATGTTTATTTCATTTATTTTGATCAACTGTTTAAAACTTCATTGGATAGAATTCATAATGTACAATCGAATTAAGTAGTTTAGACATCGTACATGGAGTCCTTTACTATTCGGTTAGGTCATAGCTGTAGATATAGACTTCATGGTTCGGCTCTGTGAGATAATCTTAGTCTGATTACAAAAAGGTCTTTATCAATAAAGTTTGTTAAAAAGTAAATGACTAATGTTGATTAGTCTGAATGTGCTAAGAGAAAGTTTAACATTCATAAAGTCAAACCTGTCATTAAACATGGAAAATTGTTATCAAAATTTACTTAATAGTAATTGCTCATAATGGATTTATTAAGAGTTAATTCAGTAAATCTCAGATAAGGAACAAAAATGGACAAAAAGAATATACAACTGACAGGAGAAAGTAATATGTTATGCAACTAAATGTTGGAAATTAACATCACCAAGTCAGTCTAAAATTGAAAACAGTAACCTTTTGAATGCCCGGATTTGGTGTAAGCCGTTTAATAGCAATGGCTTCAGGATAACGTAACAAATTCAGAATCATTTGTTTGTAGATTATTATGAAGGATTTTCAAATATTGATGTTGGACCTACTATTCTGTAGATGGCAAGTATTCACATTGTTGAAAATTTAACCCTCTCAACGAGCAATTCGTTCGATATAGTAAAACCAGTTTATTGGGTCGATATATTGTTTTCAATGAATCCCTCTAGTTTGAAGTCAATCTTACCGTATATTTAATCACCTTTAAAGTTACAGAAAATACGGTTTTTCTTGACTTTACCACACACTTCGTGTCTTAAAAGTTCTTTACATGACAATTTTTATCTGCAAACGTTTTATAAGTAGACGTAAAAATACAAGAACAAAGTTCAGGTATTTGGCATGTACTCACTGAACAACACTTTCATTACTACTCTTAATATATTTTATTTCAATTTCAAATCTAACAATTAACTGTTAATAAAATCAAGTTAGATTTTTTTGTCCTAGTAAATTAGTAATCATATTTTCCGACAGATAGTTTACTCGACTTGGTCGTCATTTACTGAAATAGACTTTAAATCAAATGGTACGGATAACAAAGGTTTTGAACAATGAATTCTATATATTGCTTAATAATTAAAATTGTAATTCTTATCAATTCTTTGTCTAGGAAGTTGTTGGCTGAAATCAATAATACCTTGCCAATTAATAAATCATTATCTGGGAATGTTAAAGAATCACCTGACCAGTTATTAATTCAACTGAAAACTGCATTAGATCTAGCGAAAGAGCTACCTACTACTAAAGAACTACCTCATAATATGCCTTCTTTTGCAAATAACATTTCCACTACAACTTTGGCGACCGATTTTAATTCATCATCAATTCATTCTCCACTTTTAAGCAAAGCTCTATCTAATGTTTTAGCTCAGAGTTCTGGACTATTAACTAATCAAAGTAAATCAATCGGTAGTCAAAATCTAAAAAATGTAAATCATGATGATGTCTTGTCTGTAGATAAACAGTCCATTGGATCACTGAAAGTTTCGACTTCTTATAAGTAAGTGAATTGAAATATTTTTATAGGTACTTTTTTCACGTATTAGTCTATGGTAAAATAGAGGAGTGTTACAAAGTTATCAATGATAGTCAAACTTGTTCAAATGGAAGTTAGTCAAAATGAAGTGATGTTTCATAATATAGTCAAGATTATCAAAAATTTCAAGTATTGAATATAATAATTTATGAATGGGTGTTATTTCAATGTCATTAAAGTTTTCAAACATTGAATAAAAAATGGTTATGTCATTTAGCAAAGTAATCACAAATCATCAAGAGCTTACGTTATAGTTCTAGAAGTAATAAAAGGCAATAATCTACAGGTTAAGTATAACTATGCTTTGTAACAAGAAGATAATACTTAGCAACTATAACTTGTAAAATTCAATGGGATGGTTAGACAGGCTAGGCCATTAGAAAATAACGTATTGAACATGACTCTTCCATATACAGAGGTCCGGTTTCAAATGGTGAATTGCTTATAGCCTCAGCTGTGCACAAATTCCTCATCCAAACCTATTCTCGGCCAGTTCTTTTCACTGTGTAGAGGATTTCGGATGACGATTCACTTGGTGTGACCTAAGTTGACTGTATGTTCAAGGATTGAGCTGTTGATCGATTTGCATTCCCCTTTGGATACCCATGTAGATTAGTGCTCGGATATTCGTTCACCAAGTGCATGCTTTAAAAGTCCAATATAACCTGCTCCATGATGGCTAGTAAACTGATAAATGAACATTAAACTAGCCCATAGTGGCAGCTTATTTTTTACATTTTTTTGAATGAGTGGCTTATTAGTGAAAGCAGTTCGGAGCTCTGCTAAATAAAACGTCCTCAGGGATCCATATAGACCGTTCTTAAACATTTCAGCTTCTGTTTCTCTCTTGAAACCAGTGTCTGCAAACAAAACTTTCTTCAGAACTATGGAAGCACCTTCAACTTGATGTTTTAGTTTTAGATTACTGTCAATATTATAAACTTTTTATTCATTGAGAGGGAAACAGTTATTAAAACTGATCGAAAAAGATTTGTTTAGAGCTTCCAGACAATTCACAACATACTTGGTTACATAATTTTTTATTTATAAGTTATGGATTCATCTACATTAGAATACTGTTATAGCATCCTTTTAAAAAATGTTCGTTTGTAGTCCAACCATTAGTTAAAGGATTGAGAAGTACTTAATTGTGACGACGGACCACGGGTAAACTCGAGGAAGCTATAAGAGGCTCAGAAGGAGCCGAAGATATTCCATCCAATCACCGTTAGCAAGAATATTCTAGAATCCCTACGTGTAGCTTCCCGATTGGACAAGGCTAATAACCCCCTGTATGCGGATTGGAGGACTATAATGATGATTTTTGTTCTTACTAAAACTATAAATACCTGACAATTTGTACCCATAATTGACACTGTTTGGAATAACATTCCTTTCACTAGTCTTCTGTCTTCTCTTTGCGACTTGGAAGGGTTTGGGCGTTCGTGTGTTCAGTTGTACGCGTTATATCAAGTAAATCAACCATTTCTAGATATAACATTAATAATCAGTAAATGTAGTCAGATTCTGTTAACTAAGTGAATTCATCTTGAAATTTCCCCCTTTTTATCGTTTATTTGACTCACTTTGCATTGTTCAAAGCAACTCTTCGAATATTAAAGAGGAAAAATGTGTTTGTAAAATCTCAGCGAATGAATTTGAAGTAAATCCAATGTTTCACCTGGCAATCTTATCCAAGCTTTTTCAAGGAAATTATAATCAAACAACAAAATTATCTAATATAAATAGGTACATAGTTCTCTGGTTTACTTTATACTGAATAAGACATCCAATCAACGTGAACCCTGTTTGAAGTAGGTATTTACATAAGTGTGTAAGAGACAGGTGTTGTGAAAACGAAAAGTGTTAAGATAATTTTGTTGTTTGATTATAATTTCCTTAAAAAAAACTTGGACCAGATTGCCAGGCGAAACGTTGGATTTGCTTCAAATTCTTTCACTGAGATTTTACAAATACATTTTTCCTCTTTATTGTACCACATTAACTCGGCGCCCAAATATTGTGAAACTATTTGTTCAAATTTAGACGAAAGTTCTTATTTATAACTCTTCGAATAAATTCGTCATGTATATTCTTCTACAATATTACTATCGACTTCTAATGGATATTATTAAAAAATGTGATTAAATTCAACTAAATAACTATGTACATATTGGATGGTTTATGTTTCGATTTATATTTCTCGTGAGAGGGCTAGCTACTTAGTTGTATGTTTAGACTACAATCAGATGAAGCAGGATTTGAACATACATCGTAGTTAGTGGGAAAACAAGTGTTTTCAAGTCACTTCATTAAGTCATCACTTTAAATACTAGAGATAGGCAAAAATGAACACCTAACTTTTTACCATTCAATATTATTTTATTCTAACTTCTACAACATCAATTACATTAATCTTCAGTTACTAAATTTTAAATTTTACATATACCACTGATATAAAAGACCCGTTTCATTTTAATCTTCTTTTTTCAAAGATCTACATTACATAACCGTTTTTTGAAACCAATGAAGCTGCTTAATCCCGCAAATCATTTATGTCATAGTACAAATCACTTAAGTTTACTCTTTTAAAGAAACAAGGGAATTTCCCAAAATTTCTCCAGTAATAATTTATTGTTAATGGTAAAAACAAATATTAGTCCATAAAAATGAGTAGTGAACACATCATAATGGAACTTAAGGTATATGTTCAATACTCATTTCTGTTTTCTAAATAGTAATTCTCATAACAAAAAGGAATGAATGTACTATGCTGCTAAGACAATTGAATCTAAAAAAAAGCTTTACTTAGTTCCTTTAGGTTGTTAGCGAATTTTGTTTTGATTAAGTGGGGGCCAAGCTTATTTATACTACCTAGTAATTTAAACAAAAATTGCTTTAATTTCTTACTGTGAATTTTCAGCTAATAAACTTCAGATTGAATTTCTATATCTATTAATCCGATTGAATTAATGTCACAGTATTCAAATTATCTCTGTACTTTTTTTTACAGTAAACACGTTTTTATACTAATATTTGATTATTTTATTACTAGGTCTCCAACATTACCTAGAAATTCTTTGTCAAATCAGACTTTTTTGACTTCGACAAATGCTAAAACTCCCTATACTGCTAGTGTTTATCACAGCTCATCAACCAACCCTTTTGAATTGGAATCATCTATGTCTGTTGGTTATTTCTCATCTACTAATCCAGCTCAATCTAATTTATCTGTACATAAGTCATTAAATCCATTTGATGAGACCAGTGATTCTGTCAATTATAATGATAATGATGATGGTGATTGTAATGAAAATATAACATCTCATTCATTTAATCATAGATCTGAACATCATGAGTCTGTAGATGTGGGTTTCGATGAATCTCTGATCGTTGAACAGCAAAAACAACAACAAAATGTTTCTAAGCCACGATCATCAAATCCTTTTGATTGGGATTAATACACGAGATTGTGGCTTAGTTTTTGCACTATCATTGTTTTGAAAATAGTAATAATAATTTCACCTGTTTTATTTTCCAAGTATATCTATTTTATTCAACTATTTAGTCTTTTCATTTCTAACCATGAACATTGCTACTGATAATGATTCCTGTTTTCAATTTCCTTCAGTTCCTGTATGTGATTTCATTTTTTGTCATGATGCTTACTTCGTATTTTGTAGTTTTCTGACGTTTTTCTGGTATTAAGTGTAATCATTACTTTTGTTCTGATTTTTTTCAATAGAAATGTTTAGATCTAACCACTAAATTGTAAATTACTCCGTTAGTATTAAGTTCTAATCTTGTCATCAAAATATAGTTGCTTGCTTGATGTTAAAATTCCATGATGATGCAATGAGTAAGTCAATTCTGTATTGCAAGTTTTCCCACAACTCATATCTTAACTTTATTATACCGAGTCACAATTCAGCTGTGCTAGGGCTGGCTTTCAAAGTTAAGCCTTAGCGGACTCACATAGTCAAATCTCTGAAACTTCATTACCTTCGGAGTCTACAAAGTAAACTACATTTAATGCTTTTGGTAATGACGTCCTCAATTTATAGAATTTATTAAATAATTGTTCTGAAAGAGATATCTAACCGACCAATAAATGCTCGGCAAACTATTCCAAAAAATAACCTGTGACAAATTTTTACAAAGTAATAAAAGCCTCCAAAAATTCCCAGCTGCTTATAATACAATACATACTATAGAAAACCACTGGCTTATATCTCAACTATTACACAGTACTCTTGTAACTACGTCTTATATTCTTCAATCGTGTTTTGTGAACCTGTAATATTTGACTTGAATTAGGAATTATCTTTAGTTTTGATGTCGGGACTCCACCGCCAGGTCTTCTAGGGCTACTACCGGAACCAAGCCCGGGTAAAGGAGGAGGAATGAGCATTGGGTCAGCACCCCTAATCCTGTAGAAAACAAACTTCCTAAAAAAACTTGCCAGAGTGAACCACTTAAACTCTACCCTCCGAGTTAGAGTAAGAATTATGACACCTCGTGATGAAAGCCGATGTTTTTCGAAAGTTGCGAGACTGATACCCCTTCTAACAAAAAGAGAAACAATTAATATACATACATGGAGTGTTCGGACAATGCGGGACGTACATAATAGCTACGAAAATAAGGAGACACAACTTGGAAGGTATTTGATAGTGTGGATAGGAGGACCTTCTTCAACACTGGTGTGAGTACCTAAGAAGATTAACATCATACAGAATTCATAAGACAGACCACGCTACAAAGTCTTGTATGATGGACAGCTGACAGACGCATTCCGAATGAAGATCGAATTTTGACAACGCTAAGTGCTCTCTCCTGGTTATGGAAACCTCGACATCTGAGGGAACCACAAAATACAATGGATAACTCGAAATCAACTAGACGAGTTAGACTTCTCATATGACCTCGCTATTCTGTCCCATACACACTAAAATATTGGAGACGAGGACAACTAAAGTAACGGAAGCCTCCACGTCAGTAAGCCTCGACACATACTGGAGAAAAAGCAAGATCCTCAATTACAACAGGCAAAACATTAACCAATCCAGTCACTTAATGGAGGAACTCTAAAAAGGGAGTGAACTTTCACGTGCTTTACTGGTCAGCATCAACGAAGGACAAGGAGGATCGGATGTAGACGTAAAGAGAAGGATTGGAAGAGCAAGTGCAGCATTTGTACAATTGAATGATGGAACTCACAACAACTGTCAACCAATAACAAAACGAGAATCTTTAGTACGAACGTCAAGACAATCCTACTGTATGGAGCTTAAACTTTGAGAACAACCATCATTAAAATGTACATGTATTCATAAGCAACTGAATTTTCGTTAATGGAACAGAAAACTAGGAAAAGATACTGGATGTGGCGAGTTGGATACATATTGAGAAAATTATCAAACTACCACGTGGCAGGCGTCAACTTGGAATCGTATAGGAAAAAGAAAAACAGGAAGGCCAAAGGACACTTTTGTGGGGAATCTGAAGCAGACGTGAAAAGGATGAACAGCGAATGGAAACAATTTTAAATGAATGTCTGGGACAAAGTTCGATTGAGTATGTTGATGGGTGTCCTGTGCTCCTCCACGAAGAGTAACATGCGCCAGTTAGTAACGATGTCAGATCATTGAAAGTAATGTCTAGATCTTGTGAACTCGAAGTTACCGTGTTGAACGGTTGTTTTATATCACCTGCCTAACTGATGGCAGCGATTACTCGTAGCTCAACAGTTAATCCCATTTTGCTAATCGCTCCTCTTAGGATTTAGTATAGTGTGTTTTGCTAGAGAAGCTTTTGACTGTAATATAAGTTTTACTGGTATTTTTGCTAAATTCGTTTTGTTTGTTAAGTTAGAATCAATTAAATCAAGCAGAAAGTTTGTACCACGATATAATTCATATGTCTCGAAAATACCTCCTATACTGTTCTACTATAATATACTATACCAATTATGACTCAATATTTATAGTCAGATCCAAAATAATTTACAGACACGTAATGAGTAGGATAAATAATTAACACATGTACGATCATATAAGAACAGTCAGGGTTGGTAAGAGGATAAGTTACAAAGTCAAAATGTGGCTTCAGAAGAACGAATGAACTGGTCGGAACGGGGGCCAGAATAGCCTTCGTTGGCATGACGTAATACCAGCCCCTACAGATACCCCCTTTAAAAAATGCCACACTAATTTCGAGAACATAAGCGGAGTGGTATACGGCTAACGCTAACAAAAAGTAGAGTACCATCTCTGATACAGTATAGTGTCATGTGCTGGGTGAGTGTATCGTTCTCAAGTAAACAAAGTGGATGAATATCCTTAAAATGCGGAAAAATGCGTATTGTTGACACACGATTATGAGCAGACCGGTGAGCGTACAAAAATTCATATGCATTCATGTTTTACAACCATCTGTACGATAAAGTAACACCTTGGTATTAGCGATTCAAAATGTCGTGAAAACAAAGAAGCATATTTATGATAATTAGGAGTAATTGAATTATAATATGAACTAAGAATTCCAGAAATAACGCAATTGAATCAAGAAGTACTACACAAGCACTAAAGAATATATTGTATTTAGTATTCGAAATCAAACATTCAACAAGTACAAAGGAGTCTGTAGTTCATTCAAACACCACATCCGCCACAGCTGAAATTAGACTCTAAGTGTCTGTAATCAATTGTACGTCTTCTTCTCAAGTTCATACTGTGTCTGTCCGACAATGTATTGGATAAAGACTCTGTATTATCTAGAATGCACTCAGTATTAGAATTAACAACTGAAATCGGAACAGACTCACCTGGTTCCTGGAATTGTAGTTGTATGTTGATTCCTGCGATTAATCGGTCTCTCAGTTGCACATGAAGTTGATCACCGAAATTACATTTGGCAGCTTGTTTCTGCAGTTCAAGGATGAATTCCCTAACATTTTGGTCATTTTGACGGATCATCTTATGAAATTTCGCTCTTTCACGGCATTCAAAACTAGTGCACTTTACATGATTTAATAATAGCTCCTTAAGAGTTGCATAAGGAAGTGAGACAGGTTTTTCTGGATATGCCAAAGTTTTTAATAAGCTGTACGCTTCTCTTCCGATGAATGTCCAGAAATGTTTCACAATCTTATCATCCTTAACATCTTTCTTGGTCATGCACCAAATTTCAAACCTTTCCAAATAATCCTCAAAAGCTTCAGAATTTGAATGAATATCTAACTGTTCCATCGCGACGCCAACATGATAGTTAGGAGTAACTGAATTATAGTATGAACTAAGAATTCCAGAAATAACGCCATTGAATCAAGAAGTACTACACAAGCACTAAAGAATGTATTGTATTTAGAATTCGAAATCAAACATTTGTAGTGACCTACTTTTGTCAACAGAACGCGATTAGTTCAATGAAAACAATAATTATTATAACCAATTGTACCAGTGACTGTTTTACTGTGCTCGTTTGTTTAACTGTGCTAATGACAGCCATTACACTTACTCTTCCGTTGACTTTGAACTTGTACGAATCCGGTTACGCTTTTAGTGGCCCGTGATCTGACTCCAATTTGATCGTAATGATAGGTTGCTATCGTCTATCCTCGTATATAATCATTGACTTAAATCGCGTTAGTTAATAACGGAATTAAATAAGTCAAATAACGAGAATGGAGTTTTAAATGCATATATTTTGTATAATTGTTGATTAGACAAACGAACGGAGGAACGACGCGAAGATTAGAAAGCGAAGCTAAATTGGCGCGCGGTGGAGATGGCTGGTAAGCCAACTCTCCTTTAACAAAGAGTTAATCAATATTTATAAGCCCAAAAAAATAAATTAAAGACATGTGATGAGTAACGGGATAAGAAGTGTGCATACGCCTACGCGCTCATACAAAGACAGTCAAGACATTGATGAGCGAATAATTAACAAGGTCAGAATGTGACTCAAATAGAATGAATAGAATGGGCTGTCCGAAAGTTAGAATAATAAGGTATTTGGGCTTAACATAATGACAGACACTACATAGCCCCCTTGTAGAAAATAGCACATTAAAAAATGTGTGTTTTCGAAAATAACACCGAAGTGATGTGTGGCTAACGTTAACATTAAGTAGCGAAAAAAAATTTGTACAACACCCGATAAAGCACAGTGTCATATGAGGGGTGAGTGTTTTATATGAAAGTGTCATAGTTATGTAAAAGAATACATGAATATCGTAAAGGCGCGGACAATATGGAGACATTAGCATGCGATTGTGGGTATGACGGTGAAATAAATTGTGAAAATAAGTAGATTAGAATATGACGGAAATTGGACTGTGATGCTGACAGAATAGTGAAATATGAAAATGTTCTGATGAGCCGCAGTAGAGTATGTAGCGTCGAGTGGATTCGAATTTAAGTATGTAGAGTTCCCATTCGTAGGATAATAATAGTCATGTGAAATGATAACTGCATCGACGGGTGATATTCGTTGCTGTACTGCAATTGATAATAATCATTAAATGCGAGGTCAGTCTACGTTGTCGTTTGCGTTATGATAAATGCATCGAGTTATCGTTAAATATGTATCAGTAGAATGACCAGAGGAACAGAATAATGACTGAGTAGACGAGGTATGTAGAGTCGTATTCCTTTTTGGTCGTGAAGCCTCGACTGCTTTGTGTTGTTTGAGGGAGATGCGCTCGAACTCGTTTGTTACAAAACCGTATTTAAGGCATGATAAAAAATACTAATAAATATGATTAGCGATGGCGGCGTACGAAACTGACTTGGATGAGACGAACAAGAGTGTATCTTTGAGAGACCAGC